CACATTTTCTGGATATGAATTTATCCAGTGTTCATGTCCCTTTGGCCTTAGCTCTGATAGTTCTTCCTACAACTTTTTTTTAAAAATAAGTGTTACTTTTGTATAAATTTCCTCTGGTGTGAACATGCTTTTATTGACCAGGAATACCAGGGTTCTTAGTCACAAGTGAAACCTTGAAAAGATGCTATTGATCATAACTCATGGTTCAACAGATCCCAGGGGTTTCAATATGAATACAGTAGTATGCTAGTCATGAAAATAGTACTTTAAATCTGATTTAATGTGATCGAATGTATACAGTTCTTTGCGTAGTTGTAGCCTTTTTTGCCAGGCCAGTCTAGTCTAATATTGTCAAGGCCTCGTAGACTATTAGGGTCTATTACTTATAGTAGGGCCAAAGTCTAGATGAGCAATGTATTTTGTGTGCACATTATACCTTCAGTATGTAATTTTGTATTACAAATTTAAGATTGCAAATTTAAGATTGCAAACACAATTTTTTATACCATTTTGCAGGACTTTAGAATATGTGCCATCTACTATTTTAAGATTTATATTTTACATATTGTATGATATCACATTGAACATTTTGTTCAATTTGTATTGCAGTCACTATATTGTTGCTCTTTATCAAAGGCATTTAATATGCCTCTAAATTTCTAATTACAATGTATTATCATTTTTATTATTATTATTATTATCATTATCATGATATCACTAGTAGTAGTATTACTTCATAATAATTTTTGATAATCCTTTTTTTCTGTGTAGAAAATTCAGGATGGGTTAAATTTGGTTCTCCAAAAGTTAATGTTTAGTGTTGACTCCTGTGTACTTTCAGATTGACTTGTTTTTGATGCAATTTTGTATAGTCTTAGCTTACCGTGAAATTATAGATTATTACATTATATGAGTGAATGCATGTACAGTATATGTTCATGTAGGCCCCCTATATCACATTTTTTGGTGAATTGTGGGCAGGTGCCAATTGTCGCTGCTCTGCATTTGATAGCACGGATAGCAAGAATAGTCACCCAAGAACAAAACGTAATAATTCACTGATGATTTGAAAGCGAGCATTTACACTTGCAAACACCTCAATCCAAAGGTGGGTTTTTTGTGTTGAGGTGTTTTGTGGTGGTAGTTGCTGTGGAACTTCAGACAAAAATTCTGGAATGGGAGAAAAACTGACGGTTCTTGCTTGTAAGTTGTAATGTAAACGCCACAACCAATACACCAGTTTACGGTTATGGGCGCCATTTTAATTTACTGGTAAACAAACCATTGACCTCTGGAGGTCAGTAGTTTATGCGTAAAAAATAATAGCGCCCATGCAAATATGATGTGAGCGCACAGCGCAGGCAGTGATGTCATCAATGTTTTCAGATGCGCATGTATTGTTGCGTCACTGCCCGCGCTGTGCCCTCACATCATATTTGCATGGGCACCGTCTTAATTTACCCGTAAACCACTGACCTCTAGAGGTCAGTGCTGTGTTTACTCATAAGTTAAAATGGCGCCCATGTCTGCGCATGACTACTGTTGTAACCGTTAACTGGTGTATTCAAATATTTGGGAGATATATGGATACAAAGTGCATACTCCTGCATGATAATAGTGTATAGACCCTCTGCATAATTCCAGTCTTATATTTTCATATTAATGTACGTTAACAAAAGGATGCCCAGAGGCTTATAGCAAGTGAATTTTGGCAAGCTTGATTCAATTTAGTTTATGAATCACAAAGCCAGGCACACTTGTCCAAAGTGGACAAACAGGCCTATATGCCCATCTTCTGTATGTGTAGTAAACAATTAGCTACACAGGGAAGATTCCACAGGGAGTGAGGTCACAAGGGAGAAGAGCTACTCTGTTTCACCCTTCATTGTGTAGTCTCATTATGTATGCACACTTTCATTCATTCACTGTTGGCTTGGGTGTACAGAGACTCCACACATGTGAGTGAATACACAAATTCTTTTCCTCACAATAAGTGAATAGTAGGGAATACAAAGAGAGACATACATGTACACAAACACACCGAACATACATGTACATGTAGGCAGTGTGCATGCCCATTGGTGTTGGCAATAGATGTAAACATATACATATATATGCACAGTGTATACTGCTATATGTTCCTATCAGTAAGTACATGCACATGTCAAAATGCTGAAAACTCATTTTCATGAAAATGAGTCAACAAGACTTTGTAACTGAAATATATATATTTAAAGGCCCTGCTGTGTTATACTAAGTGAGCTACACAGTGTAGTTTACAATATACATTGTACAGGTGTACATGCAGTTGCCAATTTTGCAGTAGTAAAGTGACTATACTACAGGTCTACTTGTATAATATCTGACTTTTTGTGGGATTGTTTTTTTCTTACATAATTTGTATGAAAGTATAGCCATAGGTGTAGTTGTAAGGTTTTGATGAACTTACAAATATATGTACACAGCCATGCACACACATACTTTGTAGGAAAAATTGCTATATTTTAGCCAACTGAATATCCTTAGCTGCCAAAGTGCAAAATGTAATGTCTTGGCAGTGTTATGCATATACTATTATACCGTAATAAGTGACGTTATGTCAATGTCAGTTACCTTGTGTCTACTTTTAGTGGACCATTCATATGAGTTTAGTATATTTTCCAGGGCATATTGCCCTCAGCCCCTGTCTTATTAATTCGCTCATTGTTACATGTAACGGCCTTTGGAATAGGTAAATAATGAATGAGCAAAGTTTAATTTTATAAATGTAATAAAAATATTCATAATAGTAGTAATAACATTGATTTTAAAAAAATATGATATTTATGATTAATTATGATTATGATAGTGATGATTATGATAATAATAGTTAGATTAGAAATAGTAATATAAGAATAAGAATAACAACAATAATATTAAAAACAATGATAACGATGATGATCATCATAACGATAATAATAATAATAATTACATTCTGGGTCTACAAACCTGTATGTGTATGTACATGTACATGTAGTTCACAATACAGTACATCTACATTTGCTTTACAGAAAATTTGTTCCCTTTCACAGTTTCACTTCGGATTACTGCCTCGAAGAAAACAAAGGCTGTCATCCTCATTTACTTCAACATCAAAACTACTGTAACTGACTGAAAAGCAAATCATTTTTAAATTGATCCTTTAAAAAAAATAATAACCTTTTTTGAAAGGAAACCAATCACAAAACAATATTTTGCTCTATATATTTGGGGTTCAATGTTTCTACACTATTGAAATATCAGCTTCACAAAATAATTATATACACATATGAATATATGAATACCAGAACGTCAATGGGACAAGCAAGTTTTGTGTAGACTACTCAATGCAGTTGTACGTCAACCTACAGACGTGGGACTCTGTGATGCCCCTTTTAAGCTCCTCTCCCAATTGTTTTCTATTTACCTTGTAAATTCAATTAATTTACATGTTAATGCTTTCTGATAAAGAGATAGATCTTTATTATTATTTTTTAGAGGGGGTGGGGGGATGGGTTGTACATTTGAGTCTGCATGGTAACCTACTGTAGGGCACATGTATAATGAAACATTTCTGAAGAAATATATGAAATTTATGGAACATTTGCATGTGGTCATTTACTACTTTAAGAATTCAAATCTTTCCTATCATTAAATGGATAATTCTCAGGCTTTAACTAATCTTTCGTAATGCTATTTGTATGCTTTTGTGTAAACCAGCTCGTTACCAAAATACATGTAGATTGTCTCCTTAACCATTTCGATGTCTCGTTATGTAAATGACTTAATGTCTTGTAACAAAATATACATACTTATTTTTGTCATGAGTCCTCTTTAAGTAATGGCAGCTCTCTACTGCGAGTAGTAAAGTAGGAAGCGGTGGAAACCACCTTCGTCAATTGCCACATACTACATTTCCTGTGTTTCAGCTTTTCAACAAAGCACCGGAACCATTTGAAAGTTCATAATTTTGACATAAAACAAGAAAGGGATACGTTTGCTTTTGCGATAAGCATAGCGGCCGTTTGCACAACTTCGCGGTAATAGCTGACAATTAGGTTTATCATAACAACAAAACAAAGAATTAAATGTCATAATATACTTTCATAGTTTATTCAGGACGCTTGCGTGTTTAACGAGGTTGCATAAATGTAGCAATAAGGGTGAGATTTCTTGAATCCCGTTGTAGAAAATCACCACTGGATGTTTTGTGAAGCAATATGATAACGGATATTGACTGAAATGTTTTTCCTCAACATGGAATCTTTAGAGAACAATGGCACATTTCCTCTCCTATTGCGTGTATTTGCCAAAGAGATTAAGATTATGGTGTGAATGTGTGTTGTCTTTGTGTAACCAAAGAAAGAAAGGCCAATGTACATCTGTCATAGTGAAATAAATGTTGATTGTTCAAATTTTCAATATGTGTCTTTCAACATTTTAGAATGAATTTATTATACTGTTATGCTCCATACTTTTTTCAGGGTAAGATTTATTATCTTTTAAACAGGAGTTCTTTGAGGGATTCGTATGTAAATTTCTTGGTTGCAATTTCTACATCTAAAGAATCCTCCAGAGCCCCTTATAAGCCTTATGGTGTTTAAATCATCTCCACCTTACAGAGCTTAAAGGGGATGTAGCATGGCAAATCCTGGTTAATGCCATCTACCACTTCTTTTGGACAACTGCACGTAAACGAAGGGACTTGATTAACAGTCAGCGCGCACTAGCGTGCGCGAAACAGACCGAAATTCTCCTCATGCTTCGGTTCCACAACTTCCACTTACTGTATGTTGCACTCACGTGAATACTGCGGTTGCGTCGTCCAAGTCGTATTATACCTGATTGGCCCACAGTCAGGCCACGGGAAAGACATATAGTATCGTCATGCTACACCCCCTTTAAATCATCCTCGCCTCCATGTAGTTTGTCACTTTAACTTGTTCTATGAATCTGATTTTACTTTACTTTTCTTTTTACAGAGTGCGGCAGGCCCGAACTCAGTCATGGGACAGATCCCCCAAGGAGCAGATGGCATGCCTGGTGGGCCCATGCCAGGTTTCTTTCAGGTAAGAGCTTCATAGAGAAGAACAATGCAGAAACAAGGGTGCTAATTAAGCACCTTCTTGGTATCTATGATATGGCCACACTGAATAATATGAAACCAGAAACTTTCACGGCAAACTTGCACAAACGTAAACGACAACTTTGTAAATTTTGAAGGAAGGACATTTTGTGAAATGGAAAATCTCAGTGCAATGTAATTTGTGATTGAAATATTGTGCTGTAAACTACCACAAAATAGCCACCACATTCTTTGAAAATGTGCAATTTAGTTTTATTGCCTTTTGTTTGGTTTTGTTAGAACAACACCAATATCCAATTAAACAAATGTATTACCAATAATATATTACAAAAGAGGTGTTGATACTGCATTAGCAATGAAAGTATGAAACCTAAAAAAGTGGAATTGAATCAGTTTTATTGGACACTAGCAGTCCACCAACTCTCAGATGTGGCCATAATACAGATACCATGGAGGTGTTATACAACATCCAGGTTTTTGAAGTGTATGAACATTTTACGTACGTAATGTAGGTCTCCATGTACAGTAGGGTCCAAGACCTAAAAGAAATGCTGCATTAGTTCAAGGTAAGGGTACTGATATTCCCAAGGTTCTTTTGGCCTCCACCATCACTGCTGTATGATATCTTCCATTCAGGTTAGCAAAGGCCCCAGCAGTATTCACCAGTAATGTCATTCATGATACTGAGCCTAAGAAATTGAAAAGCCACAAAATGTCCCTTTACTCTAATATATATGGTTGCATTATACGAGTAGTTTAAGTGTGCCAAATTCTGTTTAACATTATGGAATGTTTGGCAAGATTTTAGTAAGATACTAACAGAGAATGGATTTTTCTTTGTTTCACTGATATTCCATTTACATTCACATGAAGGTGATTATTTAACTGCACTTGTCATAATTACATTATATTCACATGATTTCTGTTTCACTCATTACCCTATACACTTGCAATTGAAATAGCAATAACTTTAATTCTTTTAACATACTATTCCTATCATAAAATTGTTTGGTACTACCAGTACCTACATGTATACTATGAAATATAGTTTCTTCCTAACTTTCATTAGCACTAGCCCTGGCATGACACCTTTATACTGTAACCATAAATTATTTTGTTAGAGCACCACTGTATGTATTGATCAATATGAAACAGAAGTATTATTAATATGTTGAAGTTGAAATGAATATGTGTTCATACTGTGTACCTGCCTAACAATACGTGGAAAGCAAAATGATTAAGACAAAGCTTTTCTCTGCACCGTGAATGCAGCATTTTATATTACGTCTTTGCCTAGAAAGACCCGAAAGAATTAGCCTTTAGCTACAGAGCCACGTTGCTTGAAGTGAAGAATTGAATTTCACTGGCGTAGATGCCTTACCTGGTAAATATATATCTGGGGAAAGGTCAGGGGATAGAAGAATAGATTTGCTAGATATCTGTATTTTGGATACCCGTTCACAGGGATTGCTTTCAGCCATTTGCTTGCTTTAGGGTTGGATCATGCATAGCAAGAATAGATTGAACCTTTCCTTTATGTGCATCATAAAGAGGTGTAAGGAACAAATAATTTTAGCTGATTGTTTAAGATTATATGATCAAATTTACAGAACAACAATTTGAAAGAAATATATGTGTTGTTATGGATAAAAATTATTTATGGAAGCATTTCTCCTTTTGCGCTTGGAAATATTTGGACATGAATAAATACAAAATACCTGGTACACATTCTTTTGTTTTGTAGTGATCTGGCATTTGTTCAAGAGACAATTGCTTTCGGCTTGATTTTGTTAGGATTGTTGGGTTAGGGTTAGGGTTGCACATGTGGTTTTAGTTTAAGTTTTGAGCTATGAATCTAGCTACACGTAGCTATCAGCAATTGGTCTAGGTTTGAATTTAGAAAGGAAATTTAGTTTAGGAAATTGACCACAGAGCAGTTGTCACAGCAATATGTGTCTACGTCACAATTTATGCATGAACTTGACAAGAATTACTCATGTATTATTATTATGAGGAAAATATTGTAATCTGTGCTTGTTTGAAGATCACTCAAGATGTGTGTAGTATCTGGTCAATTCTGAGACACAGTACGAGTATTATCTTGCAGGTCTACCGTGTCGGTTGATTTTCATCTTGCCTGTTTTAGCAGACCCTGTTTCAATAAGTTTTTGATGTTATTATGGGCATGTGATTAGGTTACACGAAGGTGTCCGATCATGGCCCAATATGAGAGGGTGATAACTTTGCATGACATTTTCATATCCGGACCATGACTGGAGAAAGGTCAAAAGCTCAACGTGGCTACCTCCAGACCCCTGTCCATGCTGCTGATAGTGCCCGGTGCCTGGGCGTTACACGTTGTGAAAATATGGAAGGCATTGTGTTTGGATCATAGTAGTACGTTGTGATCATTCCGTTCATGGCTGTGCATGGTCATGGCTACTATTGCTCGTTATGATAGCCAGCCATTTCAAAGTCAAAACCATTCTATTCTCCTAGGTGGATGTATTTTGTCATTGTTGGCTCAGCTACAGGTCCTCTGTATAGTCAGATAACATTACGTGATATTGACGTTTGGTCTGTTCATCATATCATTGTTCTGTCAGTCCATTGTCTGATGTCTGATGTTCATCAATTTACTAATAAATTTATTTGATGGTGAAACATATAGTGTTTATGCTAAGGACTGACAATTGTCACACTATAAGCAAGGTACATTTGCTGTAAAATTCTGTATATTTCATTTCTACGAATAGTACATGTATGTCCAGTAACAACTGAAACATGTAGAGCCCTCTTTCTACAATCTTCATTAGATAATGTTTATGTAATTGCATTAAGAACATTACAAAAATTGCTTGATATGCAACCCTGTGTATTAAAATGGTTGTCATTAACTTATAAAAAATCCACAGGGGCATCCAAATATATCAAAATTGTAAAGAATCACTATCCACCCAATTTTCAAAATTTCCCAAAACTTTGTATTACCATACCTTTAATTGACATGGATGAATTAGAAGTGTAACAGTGGAAATGGGCATGTACATGTACATATACAACTTCCCTTGCAATATATGGGTTATTTAGAGTAATTCATGAAGTGTAATTTATGATTTGCAGATAATGGAAATTAGTACTTTATTTACCAGAAACATTTGCCAAGATTGCAAGTGATAAAGCTTTGCAAAAGTTTCATGCCATAAAATAGTTGAATCCCAGTGCTTAATTTTTGCCATGTACGAAGGTCGCTGTCCTGAATGATTCACACAAACTTCCAATTTTACCATAACTGGTATTGATAATGCATTAGTTTCCTCATACTTTTTCTGGCTGAAATGTTTTGGAATCCTTACCAACAAGGGATTTTAACTGTTTACAGAATCTTTATCTCTTATCAATTATTTTCTAGTAAAGTAGAAATCCTTTATTTATGCAAATTGTTACAACACCTAGGTGATAATTTATACTAGAATTGGTAAAAGGTATTTAGAGCTAGAGTAAGAAAAATAAACCAAATTGTCAATATCCAGTTCTTCTTTTAAAATGTCACTCATACAGTTCTATGTTTCATTGTACTGTTGTCACTTCAAAACCATTCAAAGACCTTGGCCAAATATGGTACACAAAAATATGCTTTGTATACATTTGTAAGTAAATTCCTTACTAATGCTTAATTTACATGTAGCACCTAGTCATCTGCACCAACGAGTTATTATTTCTTCCCACAATTTAACACCTAATTATCAATTGTCAATCATGACTATTCACAAATACTAATTTTTATTTTAATCTGCTCTGCTTCCAAGCTTTTGCACATTTTCTGATCTCCAAGTTTATTAACATTATATATTGATTATTAAAATAAGGGGAAAAATTAACAGCAATATTTCAAAAGTATTTTCTTTAAAAGACTGTCAAAATCAAAATATGTTATCAAGAAAATAATCTGTCTATTTGTACAAGTGTATACAACTATACATGTATGTAACCCATATGTCCTATCCTGGTTTTTCCCTGCTAATATATTAATACTATTGTCACCGAGTACCCTTTGAATGGGATCGGAGTTGAATCTCTGCCATGTAGAAAAAGCATATTTGAGAGCCATGATAAAGTTTAGAATACCTTAGCCACATCCCAGAGTAGAAGGACGTATTTTCACAATCTTAACTCTGAGGATATATGTGTGGGAGTACCTTTGTTTTTTTACTCTGACAAGTGACAACCTTAAAGTTATTTTCTCTTATGGGAAATGGGATATTTTAGAATGCATACACTTTTCTAAAATGTCAGATTTAGTCATTTGCGTGGTTAATTTTTAAGGTAGAAACTGACAGCTGTCAAAGCTTTCAAAGCTTTTACATTTGACAATTCTTGTTGAATCCTAAAATGTGTGAAATCAACATAGAGCCAGATACCAAAATGTGGCAAATTTTTACTGTCCCTTATAATGGATCTTCATACATGTGTAGATATCTTTTAATCCATGGCCTGACTCTGAAAGTGTTAAATAAATTTTTTGATAGGAAATGATTAAAAAACATTGCTATGATTAAGAAAACCATGCTGTATATCTTTCAAAGAATGTTTAGTTTATTTTTTATGTCGGTGCATTTGAGGTAATTGGTTGCCTCTAAATGTCTTCTAGTCTAAATCCTGCTTAATGTCATATCAATACTCAATATTATTTCAAAGAAACGTTACTCTCCATGCTGTTTCGCTAATTCCATGCTTTTTTTTGCTTTTCTCTCTTTTTGCTTCCCGCCACTCAAATCTTGTCCTTTTTGTAACAGTCGTCTCCTCATCATAATCCAAACATGATGGATGGAAACCAGGTTAGTAGAGCAACTTGTACCGTCTTCCAGTAGTTCTGTCTCATCCTGTGGCACAACCATGAAATTTGTTAGAATGTACCATAGATTTTCAGTTAGTTGTATCTCATCCTTTAGTGTGACACCAAATACATGAGTGACAAGATGCAAGACCGTCTTGTAGTTGTGTCTTGTCCTATGACGCAGTACCAAGTGTTGTGAGAATGTACATAAGTTCTACAGCTAGTCTTTTCTCATCTGTTGGTGCAGCACCACATCTTTATAAGAATGTGTCCTGGATGATCTGTAAGCCATGCCTGAGCTTTTGAGGCAGCTCTGATATAATATTGGTAGTTTGTCTTATCCATTGGCGTAAATGGCGTAGATGTGAAAGAAGATGTAGATCTCTCATCTCTCGCCTCTTTGGAAATACATGTACCGGTACATGTAGATTATATAAGATTGAGATCAATAGTAAACATAGAGCTGTGCACACAGTTGAAGTCAAATCTTGTCTCAGAATATGGTGGCAGAAGTTGGGATATATCGGAATAGTAATATTCTAAAATGATAATGAGTAGAATACGTTAGAACGTGATGGCAGTGGTAGGATAAAAAACCTATGAAAATTGGTGGAGCAACAAGAAATATAAAAAAGCACCCAGGGTCAAGTAAGCAATGTACTATCCTGTGGTGAAAGAAATTAGAATAGAAAGAGGATCTTCTTGTAGTCAGGTCTCATCTGTAGGGATATGGAAATGGTACTACTAGTCTGAACTTGACAATAGAGTAGAAAGTTTCAGAACATGGTGTCAGCTGTGGGATCAATAATTTATGAAAATTGGTGCCACACCAAGAATTATGAAATGCACTTGGGATCTTCATGAACCATCTTTTGGTGAAAGAATTTGAAATAGACGTAGAAGCTTCTCGTAGTTCAGTCTCATCTGTTGGGATATACAGTGATACTTGTCAGAACTAAACAAATGTTACAGAACCTGGTGGCAGTGGTGGGATCAAAACCTACATGTATCAACTGATTAACACCAAGAATTATGATAATGTACACAAGTTCTTCGGTTAAGTCATGTCTCATCATTTGGTGTGAAATATTCATATACATACTCTTCTGGTAGTCATGTTGGGATATATACACATGAGACTAGTATGAAATCAGCAGTTTCAGAACATGGTGGCAGCCTATAAAAATGATCAGAATACACCTGCAGGTCTGGCTTGTCCTTGGATGTAGTTCTAAGAATTGTATGTATGAGAATATTCCCAGAATCTCCCAGTGGTTTTGTAAATCCTTTTGTGGAGCATAAATATATCATGGTTTTCCTGGTAGTGGTAGACCTCATCTCTTGTGTTGCAAATACTGTACAATTGAAATAGATAATGAAAGTGAAAAGCATGAAAATGTCATATCCAATCTCCAAACACAGTTGCAACAATAGGCCAGTTTCGGCGGTTACGTAATGCGCGGTTACTGTAACCAAGCCCGACAAGCTTTGTCAAATCACCATTTTGAATCTGTGCATTGTGTATTAGATTGTCGGTTCTTGCCGTTAAATTGCATTCATATCTTTCTATCAAAACTGCGTGTATATATATGAATTTCTGTTTTGGCCGGAAATGTCTTCCAACTTGCCATTCATCAAGCTGAGTTTCAGGCAGCTGCAATATTTTCTAAGAAAAAGAGGAGTTTCGACTACGGTGTACACCCGAAAAAAGACTCGTTAAATTAGCGTCCGCAGTACTTAGCGGACTAGCCTGCCCGTAGCCCCTGACCTACGGGGTCCGTGTCACTCGGTAGACGTAACTGTATGGGGAAATTACAACGGGCAGGATTTTCGTTAAGTGAACTGGTTACATACCTCCCTTAAGTTTGACGATATTCCTGACTTTGGGACCTATGACGTATTCAATTATCTAGTAGGGAATATGGCGGACCATGCATTTATGATCGTCGAAAACTGAAGACTTTTAAGAGTTTTGAAGACTTTCGATTGATATTTCCCGATGGCCATAGATTATGTGGCCTGGAGAAACCGAGGACAATCCCCCCTCTAGTTAGCTCTCGGCAGCTCATGATAGCGACTTGTGACTACATTATACAGGTCAAACCGACGCAAAAAGACAGAACATACCAACTTGAACAAAAAGAAAAAATATATTTAATAAACAAATAAAAAGTAGAAATCTAGACTAGATCTAATAAAAAATGTAATAACAATTTTATTTTTAAATGTTTTTTTTAAATAATGATTGCTTCTTGAAGTTGAATAACGAAGGTCCGGCATAATAGTAGTCTAATACTATTAACTTTTATTTTATGAAAATCAAACTTAATTCCTAATCTTATTCTAAACAATAAAATTATTCATCATCCTGATTCTTCTTCCTTGCCATCATAAGGTTTTTTTTTATTATTAGGCCTACGTTTATTATTCCCTTTTTCCATTGCTCTATCATTCTTTTTCCTTGTTCATTCTTTTTCTTCATTTTTTCCGTTCAAAATTATTTGTTTATCATTATTCATCATTCTTATTCTAGCTCTCTGTCATCGGACGATATTATTTTATAAATATTATTTTATTAACAATTAGACCTTATATATATTATATTATTACCTTTATTGTCATTATTTCTCGTTGCTTTTGATAATAATATTGATTCTGCTGCCAGTGCTTGCTTCTCGTTAGCCGTTTCTCGTCCGCCTTGAAATAGTCCGTATCGAGGCGTTTTACAAACATTTTGTAATCCGTAAAATTGTTTTCATTTTGAAAATGTGAATCGCGCCTACACGAACACGAACACGTGGTACGCGCGCACGCTTCTGCAAGCAGAGGTGACTGTGTGTGCGAACGAGTGGGAAATAGTTCATCACTTCTTTCATTTCTACGTCCAAATTTGTACTCAGATTCAAGCTAAGGTAAATGCAAAATTGAATGGAAATTACCGATATCGGCTAGCTAACTTATATTTTGGTGCTTCGCTTTCTGTTTCATCACTGGCTAGCTTTCAAGCATCATCGACCTCGTTTTTCTTCTTTTTGAGGGGGTATCGTGCGCTGCCCGTTCCGGGGACTTGGCCGAACAGGTGTAGCTGCAAGATCATAGATGTGAATCGCTAGTTCTGTACCAGCAATGCTTTTCTATTATTCTTGCCTAAGACTCAGCGATTTTAAAGATCAAATGTATGAAGAACAAAATCACATCTCAAAGATATTTATTATTCAAGTTTGAAACTGCCTCCTTTTTCTTCTCTCTCTCTCTCTCTCTCTCAAAATAGCGAAAAAAAACGATAAAATCACACCTAGCGAACACAGTCATGTATGGTATGCACGCAAAGTGTAGTCTGCTACGCACCGCGAGTTCTTTGCTTGTCCGACCCTCCGATTACGTAATGCGATTTAAAGGTCTCTGAATACATTACGAAACTGGCCTATTGGATTGATATCTGTGACATCCACACAGCACAATTAAAATATTGCTGGAATAGTTACATAAGAATCTTCAGGTTTGTCAGATCTGATCCTATGGTATGGCACCATGTATTAAAACACAGTACATCCAGTTCTTGTCTCAGAACAGGGCAGCAGCAGCAGTAGGATTACAAATCTTAAGGTAGTCATGTTTCATCCATCCATGCAGCATCACAAATCAAAAGAAGACACCAAGTTTTTGACGGTGGATGGGTCTCTTGCTTTGAGGTATATTACAGCTCGGAGTGTCCTTCTCTCTGCTTTGAATTCCTCTTTTGTTCATGTTCAAATCTTGCCTGAAACTTGAAAAGGTCAAATGCAAATTTTAGAACAGAGATTCAAGATGGCTTTAAGAACCAATCAGTGATACTCTACTAGATATTTCTATGTGGATTTCCTTCCCAGCAGTTGCCGTGGGCAATCTTAGGTTCCATTTTAAGGCAATGTATTGAAGTAATGATGCCTTAACTTCATATTAAAGTTACTTTAAGCTCTAGTATTCTCTTATCCAAGATTTAGGAAATTATAGTACCGGTACTTGTATGTTTTTTTAAAATAATGTGGAAAAATTCTTTTGTAAATGTAGGTATGTAGAGGTTTTGTGGTCGAGTGGATATGTTGCCGGACTGTCGATCACAAGGTCTGCGGTTTGAGTCCCGCCGCGGCACTAATATCCTTTGGCAAGACATTGATCTACATTTGCCACACTCAACCCAGGTGATGTAAATGGGTACCTGGCAGGAATTAATTCCTTGAAATGCTGGAGCGCTGTAATGACAGCTAGGCTAAAGCCGGGGTACCGTAATAATAAATGCGCCTCTGAATAGAATTTCTAGATAGATGGCGCTATAGAGATGCCTATTATTATTATTATATGTTGATTTTGTCAATGCAAACAAAAATCAATGGGATGAAAGTAAGGCTGTGCATAATTGTGTATTTTGGTAGTCAATAGAGGTCGTCTGAGCAGCTTTTAATACTCAAAAACTATCCTAATGCTGCTTTGTTTGCGTGTACACGTGTAGTAAGGCTGCGACGGGTAGTCGAATCCTCGAGTACCCGCACGGTTGACAACTACTCGGGCACGATTTCTCGTACCCGAATATTCGGCCGCAAAAAAAAAAAAATGTCCAGGCCCACGCTTACCCGTGCCAGGGAGAGCGGCGGCCGCTGGCATGGTACCGTCTGTAAAAATGTTTCCTAACTCAAGCACTGTCAAACTCACCTTTCAGAAACTGGGACCAAATGTCCAGATTTCTGTTTGGACTTGGAGGAAAATGGATTATTCTGCCATCTTTGGTTTTTAAAACAGCATTGTTTACTGTTATTATTCTTATTATATCGGCGCCTTCAACTGCAACTCAAAGTAAAATTGCATGCGTTTTCGGCGAGGGACCTGGGAAACTGCCGAGTGGTATGGTAGTGGCAAAAAAAATTAAAAAAAATTAAAAAAAATAAAAAAATTAAAAAAATTAAAAAAAAATTAAAAAATTTAAAAAAATTCAAAAAAATTATAAAAAAAACATGGCGTCCGAATATTCGAGTATTCGCTTGTGAGCCTGGGAGTGTACTCTGGTACCTCATTACAATGTTGTGCACAGCCCTAACGTGTAGGAGAAATAGTACACATGTAGTTGTCGAACAGATGATTACACAGAACATCCGTGTACAGAAGTCGTGTCGTTGTAGCCTTAGATGAAAGTGTGCTTGTAAATTGGCATCATCTGCATCCAGAAAAAAGAAGAAAGTAGCAATGAAGTGACTCAATTGAGAATAGAATCCCAGAATTAAAAGACTGTCATAGCTCCACTTTTAAAGATGTTTTATTTGTGGTATACCTTCAAAACTGCGGGTCGATGTCCTTGCCAAAGTGTTGATTTCTAAAGGTTGCTGGTTGCAGCACTTGAAGGGTGTACTTGTGAAATGGCATCATCGTTTTGTTGCTTGTGGCTCCGTTATAGATGTGTGTCCCGCCTTGTTGTTTAGAACTGACTTTTATTCACAGTCTGTTACATGAATTAATTTCCTCTTTAATAATGTTTCCTATGTTAATTTGGTTTAATTGTTACATAGGATCCAACATAGTTATACATTTCTCTTTATGAAAGGGTTTCTTTCCACTTCCTCAACTGCTTTCTATTGATATGAGATGATGAATGTCTTTGTAGCTTTATTTGCACTTTGTAATAGTATTGGTAAATAGTGATTCAATATATGTGCGTTGTTACTTGGACCTCCTTTCAGACTCCTAAAGTGTGACATTAAACATAAATATCTACACATATTTTGTTTTGTATGGATTCCTCTGACAAAATGTAATTCCCTTTACACAGTAACAGCTACCGTAAACCCTTCCTTAGTGACATATGATAAAGTGCACAATGGGTGTGTAACCAAAAATCCTTGGGTTTCATTCATAGTATTATGCCAACCGACCCATGACTGCAATTAAAAAGTGCAGGGATTTGCATTGAGCTTGGCGGTGTGGCTTTGGAATCATATGTAAAAAGTGACCTTATGACCTTTGTGGTTATGTCAATACGATCCCTTGAATGAAGTGGGATGCTGCATATTCCTGGTTGATTAAGGAATAAAGCATCATTTAAATGCAAATCTATGACAAAACATTTTGCGGCTGTTGACCTGGAACTTGCCGATAACCTCATATGAGTTCTGAAACCATGTCTCGCATCTAGATATGTCCTGGGAGATTTATACTCGTAATAAAACAATATGAAGACCCTTTTGCAAGGAGAGACAAGGGCTTGTCCAAATGTCTGTGGTGTTTCAGCAGAGAAGTAATCACAGAGAAGAATGTGCCCTATTACATGTATGTTTAATTGTAGTTGTTTGTCCCCTATACCGAAGAGAGTTTTAACGATAGTAAGACAATTTTGTATCCAGTCCTCAAATGATGTTTATACATCACCTGATGTACTGTACATGTACCTTGGATAATTTAAAGCAATTTCTAGATCTCCAGCTTATACTTAGCTTCCCCCTTATGTCTATTGTATTATGTAGCTTTTGATGAGTGATGTTTCTAACCAATGCTTAATGCATTATTTCTCAACATATGGGCAATTCCACGGTAACGGAATTACATTTCAGAGAAATTTGGGCTCTATTTCTATATACTGTAGACAGTTGGTTAGACCTAGCTGATTATTTATCATTTTAAATAATTGTATTATGCACCTGTAAGCAAATCGAAATGAAAACAAAATATTTTACAACATTCGAAACACACCAGGACCAAAAGTTTGTCGGTATTAACTTTTTAGAGTTTGTACGCATGAGCCCTATTTAAAAGTTTTGAAATAATGAGGGTCTGGACTTTTTGATTTTATGCTCCAATGTGTCCCAGGCACTTGTTAATTTTCAAGCCCTTCTTTTTGGTAGCCCTTCATATAATTTCAAACCAATGCACAATGTTGTTTATCTCTATCTTCCATCTTCTCTGTTTTTATCCAATTTTTAATGTTGTTCATCTCTCATCTTCTCTGTTTTTATCCAGTCCATTTCACAATATTGTTTATATCTCATCTTCCATCCTCTCTGTTTGTATCCAATTCTTAATGTTGTTTATCTCTCATTTGATATCTCTTCTGTTTGTATCCAATGTTTAATGTTGTTTATCTCTCATATTATATCTCCTCTGCAGCCTTTCATGTCTCCAAGGTATCCTGGGGGACCAAGAGGGCCAGTCAGAATGCCAGGAAACCAGGTAAGACTCCCTTAACCCACTGCCCACTGGAACAGAATGGTTCCTGTATTAAGTCGATGGGAAATGGAAATTTCATTAGTAAACTGGTTAAACAAAATAAAGGTTGCAAGCTGCAGAGTGACCACACATAGGATTTTGAATACCATCATAGTTTTTACTTTTTTAAACAAAAAGAGGATAAGCTGGAGCATTGAGCATTAATCCCCGGAAAGCTTTAAAGTCTTGTTCAGATAAATGTCACTGTAAACCACAATGATTTTTTGTTACAAGTAAAATTCTTATACGCTTCCCATTTTAGTATCTATAAACATAAAGCTAAGTGCATATATGTACAAACTTTGATGCTCCAATTTAATATTCATTTACACATTAAAAGAAAGAAGCAACAAGTGTTACCATGGCAAATGTGATTGAGCCTTAACAGAGATCTCGGAAAATGAAAATAGCTACACAATCTATGGATGTTCTTGAACATAATAATTTATGGCAAATTTATCAAGTTTTTGCCGTACGTACAAGGCATCATTTCCCCATTGTCACGCATGTCAGATGCCTGGAAGAAATAAGAATAGTATTCAAACTGGCTAATAATATATATTTAATGTTTAAAGGCTCTTTTTCTTTTGATATCGAATCATTGCCTTTTGGGTGTCTTTAGCAATAGAATTTCCTTGGGGTGACATTATAACCCCCCCCCCCCCCACATCAAGAGTCAGTCAATGTGATGATGACCTTTTCTAATGACCTGTTGCATTACCCACTGAAGGACCCGATGCACTAATTTAATGCACACATTCTGACAACATGCACTTGTGTTTTTCCTTCTCCTCCATACAGCCTGCAGTGGGCGCACCAAACTCACAAGCACAAGCTATGATGCAATCAATAGATCCCTCAAGGCAACCTGGTAAGTTTCCTTAGAATACATTCTACAGAACTGTTTATCCTTTGTGTAATTTGTAGTTGAACTGATGTATACTGTGTAGAATGTGTGTGCAACACTACAGTGAGAAAGATTTCAAGGTAATACATATGGATAACGGGGGCAAGTATTAACAGAATGATTAATTATAAAGTAATTATAAAGTAAAATCCAGGAGCAGAATTGGGGGAGTAATGTTCAGGAATGTCCTTATAGTTATATTATCTTGCTTCCCATATTGCTTCAGAATGATTTTAACATTGTATTTTCAAAATGCAATAGACTTCAAATGCAATTGTACGTTGAAGAGGTTTTTGTATGAAGGTGTAAAGTAAACATTGAGAGAAAGTTATTTCCTGCTTTTTGCCATTACCATTATATCCTTCCTTACCGTAGTACATGTGATTTGATACACATACTGAAGTTTGCGGTAACATCTTATAAGAGTTTTACAGGAGTCCGAAAGGAAAGGGAAATGACTGACACTCAAGTTACAATATGAGGAATATGACCGAGAGATATGAAAAGAAAGATGTATACTCCTCTTACACGTATTACGAATACGGTGTGAAACTAGTTCAAACATCTAGGTATCTGTTAGCAAATCAAGTCTATATGATAGTCTATGTGTACTATATTTTTGTACTATGATTACCTAGCACTAGGATATTCAAGTTTTGAAAATATTTGATGCCACCTGCAAGACAGGACAACTTGAACTATGAAATAATCCTGATGCTGGCTATGATTAAAAGCAAATTCTTTCATATTTCAGGAGAAACTTTGTCAGTTAAATCTCTTGTCTGGCATATATGTGGATAAGACTAAATTATGACATTTTCTGAGCATGGTTTTAGGTATAGATTTCTAAAATCTTGTTAATTACCATTTTGCTGATGGGAAATTTCAGCTTTACATACGCTGTAGATGATTTGTATCATTTATGCCATACTGTACTAGAAGCATAACCACAAAATCCCGTCTAGCTTCATCTCAGATCTGCTGTAGCAGAGTGGTCTTGTAACTAGTTGCTTCACTAGCTGTGCTGTTGGTACTTGCATCAAGTCCTCTGTATGCAAAGTGGGAATTAGGTATTGGGTTATGAACTGCTGGCAAGTTGACCATGAAATAAACAGTACTCTAGGGCAGAAAGTTCATCATTTCAGTATCACTTTAAGAGCACAAGACCATTGAGTCATGTTTGTCTGTTCCCTGCATCAGGTCATCCGAGTATAATGGGTCCTAGGATGAACCACCCGAGAATGCCCATGAATCCAGTAAGTATATCTAATCATTTTTATATAATATTTTGTTATTCTATAAGGTGTATCAAACTATGATACAACATCTTTATGCACCTCTAAATGACTTTGAATATTATTACCTTGGCATTAGCTGCAGCAACAGCATCACTGAAGTGCTTCAAGGAATAAATCCTACTAGGTATCATTCTGGTACCAATATCAATTCATCTAGAATGAACTCATGAAGGGAAACATAATAATATTTTTTGATGGGGTCTAGATTTAGAGGTTAGGGGTTTGAGTTCAATTCATCTCGTGTGAACATGTTTAATTTGTGTTGTTTTTGGAGCGATTTTTGTTTTGCCTCGTGTACTGCACCCCTGCTTGTGTAATAGTCCTGACTGTAGAATAGGACCCAAAAGTATGCTCGACCGAAAGGCTTATAACTAAAAGAGAATGCATTTGAAAAAAGTGTTGCTGATTATATAGTTACAGAAAGCTCATTAATGTCCTACTTATGGAATTGAAAGATCAAGCAAGTACAGTATGAGACCCTGTACTGCTAACCAAGCAGTTTTGGGGAGGTGCATTAGTTTGGTTATAGATATATATATCTGAAAAAAGCAGCTCCCAGTCCTTAAATTTTTGCCGGAAGCTGTTTTTCCAGGAACAGGAGCCATTTCCAAAATTAATGAAAATATGTATTCTCTTAAATTACTTTTTAACCATTACCTTCTATTTATTCATTAGTATATCAGTACACTATAAAGAACAACACTGCACAGCAGTCAGTTAGCAGTTTGAGATGTAAACAAACCACATACAGAGACCAAAACAACATGCAACACTAGCCAAATTTATAGAAAACAATATATTCAATTAATTGACTTTAAAACACAAGTCTGGAGTAAAATTGTCCGCTTACAGAAAGGCTTAATATCTACATCACTTTACAAACCATTCAAGGTTAACAATATCTTATCAGACAACATGAAACCATAAAACATCAACAAAACAATGAAAGCATGTCCTTATTAGGAAGATAAATCTTCAAAGCCTCTTGCAAGTAACCACTTGTATGGTATCTTGTCTGTAAGCAACAAGGATATTTTTTATATTCATAAACAAGTTACTCTAGACTAATGTATTATTGAATAACATGATGCCATTGCACTGGGTTTTAAACCTTGAGCTTTCTGGTACCAATTCCCAAATTTGAAACTTCACCGCTTACCTTTGTTTTGGAATTAATGGCCCAAATTTTCAAAAGAGGTGCTATTGAAACATGGTCTAATTCATGGTTTAAACATCTGCCATGGACTAAAATGAGCATAAATAAATGTTTAGGAGTCTATTTTTGCCAACCATTAGACATGATGGGACCATGAATACTGTTAATTTAGGTTTTAACCGTAGATTGAGATTGGTCTACTTTATGAATAAGGGCCAAAGCTGTCAAAGGTTCACTCAATAGAGAAGTTTGCTCAAATAATGTGTAGATCTACCAACCACTCTTATCTTGTTATCTATTTTTTCCCTTTTTCCCAGAATTATGGCGGTCCAGGAATGAGGGCGCCATTGAATTCAATGCCAGGAGGAATGCCAATGTCAATGTAAGTTTACCTTTATTATCAAGGGTAGAAAAGGCTTACCAGTATTTCTTACATTTATTCATTTACGAATAGCCACAGTATGGGCAATGATGTGTGTTGATCTTACTGAGTTTTATGTTGTTGTGAAATATATGCATCAGTTGATAAAGTTGATAAACTACATTTTGAGTTAAATCAATGCTTATATATGAAACGATTTACTCTTGTAAATGAAAAAAAAAAAATGGAGATTATCTTCCATTAGACTGGTGGCAGCGGTGGGATATGATAGTCAAAATGACATGTGCCAAGCTAATTACTGAATTATAGGTACAGGTTACTGAATATTAAATGTTTTGATGATGTTAACACTTTCAATTCTATTCTACCTACAGGCCGGGAGGAAGGCCTTGGAATCCCAATGCAGTACCAGTAAGTTATAGAATCATTTAGAAATGAAATGGTTTTTAATATACTGTATTGTAATTTGAAGAAAATAATACTTATCGTCACAATTAAGCGAAATAAATATTTTCTGTTATATTTCATCTGAATGATTTGTTAAGCATTTAAATATGTTATATATATTTCATGAAGAAATTCCTGAGGAAGATAGTAGATACATTTTTGTTGGCATTTTTATGAAGTATAATTGCATTTTTGATGGTAAAAATTCAAGATTAAAAGTTAAACTGATATACCTTAACTCTATGAAAAGTAGTGTTGAGAAAAATTCAACTTACTCTATTTTTCTTTCGATTGTCATTTTTTTCTTCCCTTATCTCCCATGTCTTTCTCTATTCACCTTTGACCCTCTGTTCCAATTTACCCCTTGCTCGATTCCCTCTCCCCCTCTCTTTCTCGCTTTCTCTCTTACTTTCTCCCTCTCTCTCCTTCTCCCTCTCTCTTTCTCTCTTGCTTTCTGTCTCCCTCCCCCTCTCTCTCTCCCTCTCGCTCTCTCTCTCCCTCTCGCTCTCTCTCTCTCTCTCCTATTATTTTGACTCACAGGGTCCTCCTGGAGGTCCTGGCGGAGGGCCTCCTGGTACTCCTATCATGCCTAGCCCACAAGGTAAGTCAAAACTATACCCAGTGTTTTATTGTGTGTACTACTGTGTATAAATACAATATGTATATATTAAATCTTGTGAATCATCCTGATCAATGTGTCACATAGTGGAAATGAATATTAAAGTGAAGTGTGTAAGAGGTCAGAGGTCAAGGCACCAGATAGTGACACTGTCATGGGCCGCTTATAGAAGTGGTAAATGACTGAAAGAAATGAAAGATAGAAGTTTACAAGCATGTACAAATGAGAGAGTGGATGTGTAAACTATTTAGGATGTCTAATATATACGAACCTACGAAGAAAGAGCTCTTCCTCCCTGGTACTGGAATAATGTCTATTCCCCCCAAAAAATTATGCAGTTGATATACTAAAATAAAGTATTCTAGGAAAATTCTAGGCAAAGTTATAATAATAATAATAATAAAGACATTTATAATGTGCAGCATATCAACCCAGAGGGTGCTCAAGGTGCTTACAATAAATTACATATAAACTATATTTAGATACAATTATTCTTAACAGTGATCTTTGAGCAGATGTACAATAGTTAAACGACAGAACTGATCTGATGGAATGCATGCTTGTGGTTGTAAAAGAATGTGTTCATTGACTGTTTAGATGTTACTTACTGACGAGTTATGCTCCACACTTTCTCCTTGCAGATTCCTCTAATTCAGGTGACAGCATGTTCTCAATGATGAAGTCAGTACCTGGTGGAGCCATGGGACCAGGGGTAAGAAATCTTGTCTGACCTATTTGGCATAAAAGAAAAAAATATTCACATCAAGCATGTGTCGGTCTGTAAATCATTGTTAAACACTGGGGCCCGAATTCACAAAGAAGGTTTGTCGACAAACCTAGGGTTATGTGCATCATGTGACTCGCTTCGATGCGTTTCAGACCAAGGTTCAGACAAATCTTGGTCCGAAATGCTTCATATGACGCATATAAACCTAGGTTTGTCTACAAACCTCCTTTTTGAATTTGGGCCTGGGTGTTTCCTCAAAGCTTTTTACATACTTCATTAGACTGATCATTGAAATGCAAGAAATTCAAACATGTGTATGAAAATGAAATACAGAAAGATTGACTAGCATGAATAATTGCCCACTCATCAAAGTATATGATTTCTATATACTTCAAGGAATGTTTTAGTGTATAATTGACGAGGCAGTTTGTACCATTCAGTGGACAGTTCAGTCAGGACTGCAACTTTGTATTTCAATGCGAAGTTCAAGAAGATTTTTTTTTTTTTGGTGGGAGGGGGCATAAACGTGGAACAGATCGATGTTAATGAATTGAAAAGAAGTAAGAGGCATTCTTGAATATCTGTACAAGTAAAAATTCTTTTGCTGCCTATGCATCTTACTTGTCCAAGTCCATTAAACTTCTGTTTCAATATCTTCTTTGTAGCAGAACTTTCCAATGAATTCTGGGCCTGATGGACCTATGCCAATGGGCAGTCAAGACATTCCTCCTGTCATGAACGGTGAGATGGATGGCATGCCGAAAAGTTCACCCGCAAGCAATCCACCGGGCGGCCCAGGAGGGCCCGGGACACCCAGAGAAGACAATGGTTCCATGACCCCACAGATGTTCCCACCATATGCAGAAAATGTAAGTACTTTGCAATGCAATGTTTACTGCCCTCATGTTGTGTTATCATTGTCATGACATGTAGCTCCCTACTGCTTTTTATCAGCCTATTTCAAGAATAGGAAGCATGTACCACAAGGAAGTGTGTTAGGAACATACTGAGACTGAAGCTGTTCTGTTTTGACAACAACAAAAAGCAAACATACTTCAAAAATTTGATGCAACATTTACTCTGACTCTGACATTTGCTCTGTTTTGAGAAAGAGGAAAAACCTAGAAGAAAACATCCTATAACAGTTCAATTAGATCTTTTCAATTAGATTTGAATAGAATCAATGTTATTATAGGATAACATAAGAAATCTGATGATAGAAGTGCCTCTTATTTCCTAAGTTATTGTACATGTGATATGACAATGTGGAATGATCAAAATTAATTTAAAGAATATATCTGCATATATATAGATTTAGATAAATAACACCTAGATCGATGGTTAACAATCCATAATTGTTTGACTTCTCTTGCTACTGTGTAATCCCCACTTCATGATTTTCAAGTACAGATTGGTTTCTTGATATCTTCTTCTTTTTGTAAAAGTATAGGGAAACGATATCCACAAAACCTTAAATTATATTAGAATAAAAGGGTTCTAGATTTAGAGAACTGTTACTTCATTTACGTTCTGATATCATTCTAAGTTTCTAACAACCTTTGCTTTAACTGTAATGGCTGCTGATGTGACAAGTACCTCTATACACAGGTACAGACATAAGGATGGATATAAGGTGTTTTTTGGCAAAGGGAATGTGTGCTAAATTCATAGTTGATTAAAAAATAATGAAGTAATCAGCAATTACAATCTTAGTCATTTCAGAATTATATGGTGCCAATAGAGACAAATTTAACTTAAATTAAAATATTAAGCCTGCAGCTCTAGAAATGATTTACTCTTGTCAATGAAAAAACGAATGGAGATTATCTTCCATTAGAGTGGTAGCAGCGGTGGGATATGATAGTCAAAATGACCAGATTTTGGGGAGTAATTTACTAATTTCCTTTGAGACTCGTTCCTACATGATGCTGTTATTAAACCACATTTTAAAAGCCCCTCTGGTAAAGTAAAACAAAAAATAACCCAAGTAACATTCTGCCACCTACAACATTATTTTACCGTAGTGATATGTGATGTACAACTTTTTAAAAATCATTTTACTGTGTGTATGAATTGTGTTGTGGTTGTGGCTCAATCATGAAGGAATATGTCCTTATTTTTTCGTAGGTGGATTCTCATCTTTCTGTCACTTCTTTAGTGTATCACTACCTCCTATATGCATATAAGCATTATATATTTGTATTAATATATCAATATAAAATACGTATATAGAACACAAATTAACAGCTTTTAATTAACCTTCTCTCAATTGTGAAGTATAAGTTACCAATGATTACAGTTCCTAAAACCAACAGCAACAAACGGCGGATTCTCTTAAATTACTTGAATGGAAGATCTCTTTCTCTCTTTACGCTGTGTGCGATCGCTTGAACAGAATAATTTTGAGATAGTGTTTTTATGAATCGATGGAGATGACGAGGTCTCGAGTTCTCCTTAACAATCATGCTTTATACATGAGTTCACATGGGCTTGCTTTGGAGGGTTATAGTATATTCAACATCTGTGAAACATACTAGGTTGGGACCATGCCTTCATGTCTCTGAAGATTTGCTTCAGCCGATTGCATATTTTATATATTGCAAAGTATACAATGAATCAAAGTAAACTAACTCTGTCAAAATTTGTGATGTCGATTTTGTTACCTGGGTATATACGGCTTACTGGATAAGAAGTTCTAACAGCATATGATGAAATTGGACATATGATGGTTGATAAGGTGTGGTTACACTTACACTTAGTCTTTGGTTCTCTGTATCCCAGTACAAGTGTAGATCCATGTATCACAAGACAAAATGTTTGAGAATTTCTTTCTTTTACCGTAAGTGTTGATATAGGACCATTAAAGGTTCCACTGCCATGATAGTTCTGGATAAGACCTCAAAATGGAGAATATATCCATCTCATGCTTGTGTTTCTAGGTTCCTCCTTAGAGAATCCTGTGTTTCTGAACTCGTGTCAAATACACAACTTAACAATATCTTCTGTCTTTAATGTCGGAATAGAAACATGAATGAAATTTCTAAGATCGTTTCTCATACTGGAATGTGTTGTAAAATCACCTGAGAAAAGAGGAGTTTTTCATCGTCTGTTGTTATTACAGACATCTGAAGCTCATATGTGATGCCTTATTTTGTTTAATTGTCATGATGATTTGTGCATTGTGAGTTAATGGCTAAGAGATGGAGATGCGGCTTGATTCTGAGAGGAAGGAGACAGTGAGCAAATGATAGAATCTGATACTTTCTATGGCTTGCAGTTTTCTTGGTAAAGTTAGTTGCTCATGTGATGAACAATTTACTCATTTTCCTGTATTGTTTCCAATGGTAAAACTGATGTTTTTGTCAAAGTTTTGGCTCAAAATGGAACTGGACATAAGACATGATGCATCTGGATGATGCTTATTATTGTGGTCATTTTGCGGAAATGTTGTATGCTTAATAAGCTTGTTGACTTTGGAGTTGTATAATAGCATCCATGGCATATATTTGTTGCAGCTGAGCTTTCATTTACATTCATTTACAGTTTTAATATCGTAACAATGACATACATATTAACTGAATATATATGGGTGTATATGATTTGGTGTTACATGGGTGTAAGCAAAAGAGGGTGAGGTACAGAGCATTAATGTGGATTTAAAAGTCATGTGATTATCAAGCCATTAGGAGGGAAAAAGCTACAGAGATTCAAAAATATAGTATAGTTTTAAGATCAGCTAAGCAAAGGTATGATTGGGGATGTGCTGATGCTATATAGGCTCCCATATCTGAAGCAACGCTACCTGCTAATCAGTAAGTAATTCTCGCTATCTCCAATACCTGTACGTTACGTTCAGGCCCCATTTCAAATGCCCTCTGGGTCAGTTTAATGGCCAAGTTGCTTGCGGTCTTTTTTGTCCTGCTGCGCTGTGCATGCCGGCGCTGATTTTGTGCGTGTGTACTGTATTTTCCCTTAGTAATTATCACAGTGATAAATACATTCTTCAAGTGATTTTATTGAGTGGATCTTTACAAAAAATATTGTTAAAAAGAAGATATTTGGATGTGTGATGGGCAAGAGCTAGTAGAAGCATAGAGATAATAATTTCAACTTGCATTGGTGGTGTTCTTTGGCAAATTCGAAAACTCATATGAAAAACTAAAAAATGGACTACGATAAGGGCTCTTTAAACAGCCAACGGACATACATTTTTGTGGGGAGGAGGGCCTTCAATTGTTTCAATCTAGTCGTCAATATAGTTTGTTGTATTTTTTTTTTGTTTATCGTTGCTGCCGTCACAAAAATTGAGGAACCTCGAAATCGGTTTCGGACAAGTACGTAAGCACATTGCGCATGCTTAGTACGTGTACTGCGTGAGTAGGCATACACTGGAAGTGGCTCAAAATTTTGCCCAACAGACTTCATCTGGGCATTTGGGGCGTATTGGTGATAGCGAGAATTGTGTGTATGGAAAATCAATAGACAAGACGGGTCATTTGTTTAATTACTGTAAGTTTTTTTTTAATCAACAAAGAGATAAGTTACATTCTGAGGCATTTCCGTAACCCTACCATACTCTTTTAATACAGTAATCATTAGCTTCTTGAAAAGAACTATCTGAAATGAAATCATCCCAAATCATTAATAAAACTCTTTTGAGGGCACTGTATTTACAAAAGGCACTACCAATAAACATTTTTAACCTCCAACAAAATCAAACTTTTTATTTCCAATATGCTGTTGGTATCCAGTTGAGTTTCCTTTTTGTGATGCACTATAATCCACTCTTTGGTGATGGTTTCATTAACCTAAAAACTGAGTTCATACTAACAGCTGACACAGTCAGAAATGACAAATTTTCCCAATCAAAATAATTTTGTCCACAGTTGGCGGTCTTCTAAATTGAATATCAGCATTAAACGATTAGGTGAGTGCCTTTTTCTTACATGTCCTAACTATATCCCAAGTCCTCACTTCTCTTTTTTGTTCAATTTGCTATTCTTATCAAATGCTTAATATACACAAAATGCACTGCTTTTTTTCCTTGTTACCAAACAAACCATAGAGCAGCAAATTTTTTTGTTTTGTTTTGTTGAAGCACATTTGTAGATTAGATTTGTCAGATAGAATTGGTCATTCGGTACGACACTTTTTCATTTTGTAAAATAAATCTATTCACACGCAGAATGTTTCAGTAGAACTCTCAGGCTGTAAAAAGGGGATCAAATGTTAAATTTGAAAGTCATGACATTTCATGCTTTATTTTTTTTCCATCATCAGAGCTGTTTATACATTTCTGACTCAAAAATACGTGGTTAGGGAACATTTAAATTTTGTAAAGAATATTTAGAAGATGCAACTTTGCTAAAAGTTAATGTGAGCTTAGAAAAGTATGTGATAAAACCTCTTTTTGAATGGGAAATTATGAGCAGAAAACGATATAGAGAGTGGCTCTAGGAATCTTAATCTCACATAGAACAGATTTTCACTTCTATCTTATCTTCCAAACTTTACTGAGATAATGTAGGGGTGGTTCTCAATAGAGTTATATTCGTGAAATAGTGGTGATGGTGGAGTTGATGAACATCAAATTGGTCAAATCCTCAGTGCATCAGGCTTATGATGCCTTTAAAAGGAGACTATCTTTGCAATGCAAGTTAAGATGGAAAGAAAAAACATTTCACCTTTAGTTAATGTCCAATTCATCAAGTGGAAATGCCATGGATAATCATGCTACATAGAGCTGACAATTGAAAGATGACGGATAACACAAACACAACACTGATTGATTTTCGTACTGCACAAATGACTTTTATGAAAGTGTAACCTTGAGAATGAGAACTTTATGATTTGAACATTGCATAGCTTTGTTCCTTTTGAGAACTCAATCAACTGCTTGGGTTGGTTGAGTTCAGTGTTTAATTGTTTATCGGTTTGATAGATTATTGTCCGTATATGTGTAGCATGAGCAAGGCAGATATATCCACCTACACTATTGTTTTGATCAAGCCGTATAAAATACAAGCAAGTGGCACTCTTTTTCTTTTTGTTCTGCATGTTGGAAGATTGTCCATTAATATGATTGTTGCATACCAATAGAGGGCTCATTTTCTCACTTCCTTTTTTCAGTAAAGGGTATATTAAAGTCGAGGGAATGGGGAGAACAAAGGAAAAAATACTCATTGATATGTATTAACTGCAACTTTAAAAATAATCTGCACTGTTGTTTCAATTATGATTCAAACAATTGCATCTCTCACACTCACGTTTTAATATGTTTTACTGTTGATATATTAATTGCATAGTAATACACAGAAACAATGATCAGGTAATGTAAAATATATGCTGTAGAGAATTGAAGAAAAAAAGGATTGGTGACCACATCATGCAATTTTTCAAGTGAATTTTCAACGAGATTAAAAGATTATGACTTGCGTCCCCTTTTCATATTTCTGGTACTGGAAGTTTTACTCTTGTCAATATGAAAAATCAATGTTTATTCCTGGTTTAACACGATTAAATAAAAATGGATGATTTCACAATTGATTGAGAAAATATCTCAAAGTTATTTGCAACTTTCAATGCACGTATACCCATTATGTTGGCAGTCTTACCTTGTCGCAATGCTTTGAACATTTACAAAGTATATGTTTTTCATTCTTTCTTGCTTTCCATCTATACAGTGTCCACAGGACCAGAACGAGTCAGCAGCTATACTCAAAATCAAGGAGACAATGCAAGAAGAGGCTAAGAGATTTGAGAAGGACACACCCGGGCCTGATCATCCGGAATACTTCATGCAATAATACATACCCCCCTCCTTTCCCCTCCTCACAATCCCAATTCTGCTTGATAACTTTCGCTTTGGAGACGGAGGAAGCGATCTGATCTTCCTTGTGATGCGCCGCACAATGTATGGCCTCAAAACAACGATCGCTTGTGGGATTGTGCCCTTAACCAGCACAACCCCGAGACAACAGTAACACATGTGGGACTATGAACATGTACTACATACAGGCCCAAGTCAATGGTAACATCATATGGAATAGCTCTCTCTGCACAGCCCCATCACATCTATGACAACACCTGGGATCACAAGCTTATCAAGACACCAAGACAACGTTTACAGGATACAGGACGGTGCACCCTGCATAGCTCCAAAAGAGCGGTTACATGCAGGAATCATTCTCATCACAGCCACACAAGAACTGTGTCATGAGGGATCGTGGTTCCACTATGGCATCTACAGCAACATTTCGCCAATACGATTTGTACCTACAAGTTCACTCTACAAAGGGCGGGTGCATTTTGTTTGATCTTCACATGAAAGAAATCTGAATAGTATGAGTTTTCCCACTGTTTAGCAAGTGTTGAGAAAGATATAGCTACCCAAATAAATACTTTAATCAAATTTTGTTGGAAGTAGTGCAGTTTGTGAGACAAGTTTAATGACTTAATTTTTATGATGTGGATGTTTTCTATTTCCTCATGCCTAATAAAGGCTGAAGATTAGCTATTGAGGATGGATGTACTTGTACAACTCTGACATATCTTATATTATAGATATTTTTACTGCTAGACAATTGCTGATCAATCTCTATCAAGTCAGCTGTTTTTGTCCTAAAATATGATATCTGTATCAGGAACTTATATTAGCTTGTCCTTAATAAGAAACTTGTTCAAAGTATGACGTAATGAATATAAAGAATTAAATCTTCATACTCTATGCCACCTCAATACGTTCACTGATCATATCAAGTCTGTAACATGTTTTGTCATGAAGAAAGAAATTTGTGAAATTGTATGCCTTGATAAGTATGTACTATGTTCAGGTCTTGCTGTGAAGTGGCAGATCACATCATACAACTCAGATTACTTTCATGTGAAGCATCAGCCTTTAGCGCTGTATTACTGTAAAGCCAGAAAGCCAGACACTTTCGTGAATTGTTGTTTACGCCTCTTTTTGCGGCGTGCAATGTTCGTGCATTGCTGACCAAGAAATCTGGGTAGTATTGTACTTGCATTCAATGCACTGTTTAAGCTAATACTCTCAAAGTGTTAGGCACATGAAAGTGTCTGGTTTAAGACGTGATAGACTGTTGAAGGGCTGTTCATACCATCTAAAGTTGTGCTAGGTATCCAATGATTAAAGACATCTCAATGCCATCTAAGATCTTCATCTGCCTGAGGTAACAGTCTATTGTTACTAAAGTAACTAAACAAATAATTTGAATTCTGGCAAAAGGACTTTGGCTATTAAAAGTGAAGGTCCATAAAAAAGTCATAATTATCCAATGTAGCAGTATCATTATCATGTGTTGTTAAGCACATGTTAATTCGATGTGAACAGAACCTCAAATGTTGTAGGAATAAGACATTATCCTATCATTTTAACTTCCCAACAACAAACTTAATCTTACAATTTGCCAATTGCAATATTCTAGTATATCTGTCCAAGATATGCATTCAAACAAAAAATGACAACGCTGTTAAAAGACAAGTGATTCCATTGAGAAGGCCTTTCTGTGATTTCTTCTAAAATAACTCATGAAGCAATGAAACTCTGATGATGTTCGTATTATGATGCTGACCATTGTACAAAGTCATTCACACTGTAATTATTAAGTCCTTGTGTAATTTATTCTCATTCTTTGACATGTTATGTTTTGACTTTGTTTTATTAAAGACATACAAAGGAGTTATCGATACCTGTACTTTTACCGACCAAGCCCATCTCATTAAACATCAAATGTAGACTCATTCTTATGCATAAATCTTCTGACCTTTTTCTTTTTTAGTCTATGGCTTACATGAAACCATAAAAGTGTTTATATAGATACACCTTTCTCAGAACCAAACATCAGAAACCTAATACTATTGCTTTGCTCTAAGGGAAATCCAACCTTGATAGCAAACTACTCTACAGGAAAGCAGAAAAATTAGAGAAGTAGACTGGTGAAAGTTTGAATGAAATCGGACAAAAAAATAAGAACATCATGACATTTTAAAAGTTTAAATCACTATAGGTATGTGCTGTAAAAGTGGCTGAATCAAAATTGTCAATGTGATGTATTAGGGGGCACATAAAATGACTCAAATTACAATTTTTCAAAAAACTAATGACTCCGGAGGGTCTTTGCTCTTCAGAAAATCTATTCAAATGTGATATCCATAATATGTTTTGAGTAGTGCCCTAAAGGAGAAGATTTATTTAAAACTTTTGCCATTCTGTTTATCTTATTTTTCTGCTTTCATACTAATGAACGTATTACAAGGGTTGGATTGCCCTTTAAGTTGCAGCTTCAATATTTTTGTCAAACTCTTTAGTGATCTGGAGTACTGTAAAGTAATATTTGAGCTGTGATAAGTTATTGCTGCACTGATACACATTTAGCTTTATGATTAGCAACATATAGGTTGCAAGTTGTTCTAGGCTAGTCATTGACAATGACTCTCATGGTGTATATATTTTTAATGATGAGTATAGTTTTACAAATATTGTCCTTGACGCTAATCATCATTGGCCTTTAAATCCCTCTCGGATCATTTGATTTCATTCACAATGCATCATGAATTTGACTTGGTAGTAAACAGGTAAACTTGACTCGTAATGCTTACAGACAAATACAGCTAAATTATGTTTTTCATGGATATTAAATCAGTTCCAATGCAGAGACATTACCCAAAATAGCACCAGTACTGAAGTATTGTAAGGAAGAGCATGGTACCTAACATGTTGATGTTATATATTGCTATATTGGGTAATGTCTTTCTTTATTATTAGCATACTTGTTCAAAATCATAGCAAATATATGGGAGTTCGCTTAAAGCCATTATTGATCCATACTATAACTTTCATCAGGGGGACTACAATGTATAACCACATGGGCCCGGGCAAAAACATGAATGTTGTTTCTTATAGTGTGGGTTAGCTGTTTGACTACACGGAATGAAATTTGTCAAATATTTGTAATGAAAGAATCCATTTTGGGGATTCTTTTTACATGTATATCTGTACAGGGTCAGCATTGCATTTATTCTTTCACTGTAATTTTCTCTCATAATCTTTTTTTATATTTCTCATTTGTTTATTTGTCATTTTGATAGAGGTGAAAACATTTGGGTTGTTTCTATGTAATTCAGTTGGACTTATAATGAGTATACCAATAGTATTACCATTATGTCAGGTTTGCTGCCCTATCTGCCCACGCTCCATGCATCGGTGATAGCATATCGATTGATCAGAATCTATTTGGATATTCATAAAAAATAGTTACAGCAAGTAAATCTTGCAAAATCTGTAGCCAAGACAAAATTATGGCAACGTGAAATGTCCCAGCAAAGCAAGAGATTTTCTTCAGGCAATTTTGTATTTTGTATTAGTAAACTTCTATTAATTTTGTTGAGATGGACTGGATAAAGCGCATTTTGTGAATATCTGCCCCCCCCCCCCTTTGTTATCTTTAAAGACGTTTCAGTTAATCTTGATAGAAGAAAAATATTGGGAATTGCCCAAAACTATCTATGCAATTACAACATACTGTCCAGCGGTAGATTATAAGTGAGTCTTGCATGTATTCATGAAGACATTTAAAAATGGAGACAAAATTTTTTGCAATTGCCCTTAACAATCCATATCTTCACCTACTAGATATGGGCAACAACGTGCACTGTGCATCCCCCAGTTCTGCATAAACAACCTCAAAAAGGCTTCGCTTCAGTAAGATTATTCTCTAAGAAATATCAACCTATTTACCCCTTGAAAAACTGAGAAATTTCATTCTAAATAATTATTGGACTGCTGTGAGGATAGGGAATACATAATTGCTTGCCATTATTTGTCTAAAATGCCAAAAAATTTGTGATCATGTCACCAATATATTGATGCCCTTAGAAAATCACAAACAAAAGCCATTCATGGGGACCAGATCTGAGTGGCATTTTGAAGGAAAAAAAAGATTATCCAGCGTTTTGTATCTGGATTTTCAAGACATAATTTGTATTTTGTCTTTTTAGTCTTTGTCGTCCAAACCTACAACTCGTTTGTACACCCGCCTTTTTCTCCTCTTCTTGTGTAACCAGGACAACAAGTTCAAACTCATACAAACTCTCGTTCTTAGTCGTACACTCTTGTATATAACATGTTTCTTTGGTACATCTGCAGCCAACATCGGCAAGTCCCAAATATTGTCATTGTACAATAGCAGTGAGCTACTCCAGCATTTTTACAGAGCTGTACAGGTACAATGGTTTAAAAGACTCCTTTGCATTTGAAACTGGCTATGAATCATGAGGCAGTATTTGCCTTTTAAATTATCGAAAACGAAAGGTGGGATGACGATGATGTGTACCACGTATTTTGTATTATAATGTTGAACAAATATGAATTCACCTCTGTACAATGTCTACATTGTACCTGTACAATGTATATTGGTAGAAAATCATGTGTATTTAGGAATTTATTGAATGTTGTACAACTTTGTTTAGAGAAATTCATAAAAAAAACTATTTATGGCATATTTTTGTGTCTTGTGCAGTCTTGTAGTACATAAAGTCTATAATTTTAACATGTCAATTCTCTTTCTCTTAATTTGTTTTCTTCATTTGATTGAAGAGATATATTTTCCTGAAATTGTTCTATCACCATTAGTGATTGGTGCTTTAATATAATGGTATTTTGTTAGTAGTTATGTGTATTTTTGTCAAAGATGTGCAAAGGCTTTTTTCCAAGCACATCAGTAGGCCAATACAACACTACAAGTTGGTGCCAGTTCAGAGCATTGATTGGACAGAAAGCAATCTTTGCAAAACATCTGCAAGTTCTTACAGACTTGTCTTTCTCTCATCAAGATTAGGTAAATGATATTGTATTTCAAGTCTTTAAGGGACACATATTAAAAAATACATAAAAATAATGATTTGTAATATCCCCGTCCACGCAGCGCATTTGAAGGTGTTATTTTTGTTGAAGTATCAATATTTCATCAGTTTGGAACCAGAAGGGCTTTAACGCATATAATACTTATCACCGAGTTAACCTCCTTCTGGCTCTGAACAAACAATTTAATATTATCATAAAAAGGAAGTAGATATCAAACAGTAAGTGGTACTTTCTCCCAATAAAAAATATATCCTTTTGAATTACCCAAGACATAGTGAGTTTTAATGCCTTTGATAATGATGAATTATATCATAATGCTTGGTAAAAGTAGACATTAGCTTGAAAGTTACTTTACCGGATTTCTTATCCGTCCACTCATGCTTGTACTTTTGCTTAACTTCTGCACAAATCAATACAAATTATGGCTATCATTAATTCTATTCAATCGGTAGGGAGAATATTAAAGTTATTTGAATTTCCATGTAGTGATAGAGATGGTTGGGGAAGCAGTGCTAATGGAAATTTAAAGACCTTTCTGGAATGCATAAAAAATGGCCCAACTCGATTCGTCTTCATCTTTCAGGTTGTCTGATATTAAAATCCAATTTTCGAAAGATGTTTTGGAAATGTTCAAAATATCAAACTGATATCCTATTTGGAGACCTTATCTTGAAAATCAAAATTTCATATTCAGTTAGGAATTGCTACTTCAAAATTGAATTCTGTATTCTCATGTGATGCATGTACTACTTTTGAAATCAAACCGGGTGATCCAAAAATTGAAAATCTGATAAGATATTTGTATTTGAAACCCGACTTTGAAATAGAGAGATACCATGGTATGAGTATTATGAAAGAAGATTTGACCTAAACTGTACATCTATCTGTAACTAAAACAATGTAAATAATATAATTACCATGGCTTAGCATAGGAACGAACGTAAACATTTAGTATTCTTATGCTGAGTATTATCGTTGAAGCAGTTGTATTCATTATCTCTTTCTTATTGAATTCTCCTGTGTAACATCTGAAAGAATATATTGTAGATACAGAGGAGAAAACATATCAAAATGATGTCATGATTGCAGAACTTGATCATTTTTTCTCGTATATAGCTCCTTATTAATTACGGATAGGATTGAACTGAAGAAGAGAAATTAAGTTGATAGCATACTCTTTAGGGCAAACGTAGAACATTTATTTGTTTCAAGTAGAATTGACAATTATCGTAGACCGTTTTTTGAGTTGGTAAGATAAGATGACAAGCATTTTTTAATTTCAGTGCATAAACTCTTGTATTTAGCTACCAGACTTTGAATGTCTTTCGATATTTATATCTATTCTTTGAATATCATTAAATTCCGGGATCTGACACTGTTACAATCGCAGTTATCTTGAATATATAAATTTGCTGGAATGTATACCAACTTGCCATTATTAGTTTCATTTCCCCATCCCAATCAGGTAATACTGAAGATCTCCCTGACCATTACAAGCATCTAAATTTCTAAATTGGCAACGGTGTTAGATCAATTTCTGTGGTATTCTCCAGTGCTTTCTTCATTCAGTTGGTGAAAATTATAATGAACTGGACAAAATCAATTCTTTTATTGACATGTTATGGACTTAATTTGCTGATTCTGAACCCCGTAATGTTGCCTCTTTAATGTTTCGTTACAATTTTTAGAATTCTAGGCCTTCATTGATGGATTTTCATTGATTGCTTTCTCTGTCTCCTTCATAATTGTGGATTGTACCTGTTCAAGAGAAAGATTTGATGTTCATTTTTATATATCTCAATATTTATTTAAACTTTTTTCCTCATTCTCTTTGTTAACTCTCTACAGATTTTTCTCTTGTGTGTGTCTGTACAAAATTATTAAAATGTGGCACATTTTTTGTCAAATCCAGACTGAGTTTAGTATTTGTGACTTTTGTTTTTACACTTCTTGTATTTACCATGGTTGGCCTGTTACGTGTTGACTCGACATTACAACTTTTTTGAAAGAGAATAGGGCTATTCTTCAGATAGTGCATCCCAAATTTCACTGTAAAGAAATAAAGAAGATGATAGAGGGAGACGAGAGAGAAAGGGAGATGGAGAGAGAGAGAGAGAGAGAGAGAGGTTGTAGGGGATGGCAAGAGGGATAGAGAGATGGAGAGAAAGAATGTCACTTTATTAAATACTTTCATTCAAATACACAAAGGAAAACAATCTTAAACGTTAAAAATAATGTGAATATATAACATGAGAATAACACAAGCAAAGATATTTGTAGACAAGATGGGAAGGTCGGGCGTTATGTGAAAGTTTGTCTCCAGTGACTGTATAGCAAATTGTATATTATTTTAACTATTATGTTTTGATAAAAAGGGGGAAAAAGTAAATGATTTACATTCGCACAGAGGGAAAGAGAGAAGAAAGAGAAAAGAGAGAGAGAGAGAGAAGGGAGAGAAAAAGATAGAGGGAAGAGAGAGGGAAGGAGAGAGGGAGGGGACGAGAGAGAGAGAGAGAGAGAGAGAGAGAGAGAGAGAGAGAGAGAGAGAGGGGGGGGGGGCCGGGGGGGGGGGGGGGGGGGGAGAGGCTCTCAGGATGGAGGGGCAGTGAAAGTGGTATGCGTAGGCGATTGTGTGTGCGATAGAGAAATTCTGAGAAAAAGACATCAGTGAATTAAAAAAGATGATACAAAAGGATATATAGTTGATGCCACAATTACCTATTTAGGCTTTTTTTTGTTGATGCTCAAATGTGAATGTGTGTACAGCAGGTCGACATGTCATAATACAAAATACCATGGTAACCATGATTCTAATTTGTCAAATTACCATCCACCATTCGAACCATGGTAATCATGGTATCAAACAATGAAATTATCATAGTTTGATAGGCCTACCATGGTTCGAATGATGGATAGTAATTTCGACAGAGAACCATTACCTCTGCCATTTTTACTTCTAGCTTCTGGCACTTAATATTCATATTTTTAGACTGATTTTTTTTCTAGTCAGGAATGTACGTGTCTGTCTACGGGAATAAAATATGTTACTCCCTTTTCAAGCTCCAATATTGGAATTGGGGGTTTGAATTTTGTACTACAACAAATAATTTTTTTTTACATGACCTCTAGATCTACCGGTAGATCTAGAAGGATTATTTATTTTGGATGAAAAGGAAAAAACCCTTTAGAGATGCAATAGAATTACGCCGCGTGGATGAAATTTCGTATTTTTCATCAAATTTATGAACGATCATGAGTGCAAAAATGGAGGAACAAAATGCTGAGATGGAGCCTCAAATGCCACAACGGACGCTCGCCCATATTAAAAATAAACAGAGAAGACAAGAGTTATTTAGAAAGATGCAGATTGATAAGCGGAAGGCAAGTAGATCTAGACCATCTTCATTTAGTTTTACTTTTAATTCAGTCCCATATGTTGTAATCGTTGTACTCTTCAAGTGTCAGCACCAGAGCTACATGTAGCTAGCGCTAGCGCACCAGAACTCGGAAGGCAGAACAAATTTATGAATAAATTAATTTAAAGTTTAGAAGGACGTATCTAAATTGTTACAACCAATAAGTCACGCCCCTTTCCCCAACATTTTTATTTAAATTTTTCGAATAGATCTAGGGTCTAGCGATCAAAATGAAGTGAACATTTTCTGAAATTTGTTTTTGAAGAGGAAAAAATGGAAAAAAGAACAAAAAATAAATAAAATCGGTGGTCAAAAATTGTTTTCTGTTTTCCAAATTCCAAATCAAAATCAAATCAATGAATGAAGAACGAGATGCTCATATTCATAATAATCATATCAGGTCTAAATATGATTAAATCTCATTCATGTCATTTAGCCTCGACTATCAAGATTTAACAAAATCTTAACTTAATTGATTTGTAGATCTATGTTATTTAATAATAAACAGTCTGTCCATTCTAACACGGCCATTCTTTCTTTTTCACAAAAAGGAAAAACTAAAGGAGAAGAAAAAGAAGCAGAGAGAAGATGAAAAGGCTGGTGACAAGGTTAGTATTCTATCTGTTAATGTTAGGGTGTCTGAACGATTTTTCAATTTTCAATTTGGGATCGTTTTTCACCATTTTTGTTTGATATTTGAATAAAGAGTGTAATCAGAATAATACATTTCAAATTTGAAGCTTCACCGATGTTTCAATCAAAAGATACAGCCCCTCCAAAATGCTGGTATATTCATATCATTTTGGTCAAAATCGACGAAAAAGACGTCCACGCAGAGTGATGTTGTTTTGCTAAATTTAGCCAAACAGCTGTATCGCGCGATATGCAAGCGTATGCATATCGTACGCATGCTGCTAAGCCAATGCGCGACTTGCAAGCTTGAGCTACGCTGTCTCCGCGACACGTGCCATTGACTAGTATGGTTAGCGTTCGTCGCACAAAAAACCCGGAAGTGAATGCACGTTATAGTCAATGGCAATATCGCGGAGATGTCTCCGCGATATTGCCATTGACTATAACGTGTATTCACTTCCGGGGTTTATGGTGGGAACGGCCATCCATACTTTCATTCACTATAAGCTCACATGTTACGCGATGTAACCATGGTTTGGACTGAGCGGAGCTCACGCCTCCCTAATTAGCTGATTCCAAAAATGTGGGAAGGGTATTTTTAAACTGTTGGGGCGAGTGATCTCTTGGGGCTAGCGAAAAAATAAGTGCATACATATTTTCCTTACGTCTAGCCGGACATAAGCCCGGGGGGCGCAGCTCAGGAAAGTGGCAAATTTTGGAGCTAGGATGCAAGCAACATTTAAATCGCTGTTTTGACCAAGATATTTTGAGAATTTTGGGGGTGCGCCCCTTTGGGGAATATGGAGAAAAACCTGCTCTTTCATATGACACCTCATTTATTGAGTTTTACCTTCAGGATCACAAGCCCCAAAGGTTTGAATTTCAATTTTTTTCATAAAATCATTGACCAATTTTCATGGTCGCGCAATGCACGTAGACTGCATAGGGATGCGTGCAATCTCTATGGGAAGTATTTTAGCACACAACATCGGGTGCGCGATCAGACACCCTATTAATGTATCTATTCTAGTAGGGTGTCTGATCGCGCACCCAATGTTGTGTGCTAAAACCCTTCCCATAGAGATTGTACGCTTCCCTATGTGGTCTACGTGCATTGCGCGACCATCCAAAATTGGTCAATGATTTTATGAAAAAATTTGAAATTCAAACCTTTATAACAAATGATCCTGAAGGTGAAACTCAATAAATGAGGTGTCATATGAAAGAGCAGGTTTTTCTCCATATTCCCCATAGGGGGCCACCCCCAGAATTCTAAAAATATCTTGGTCAAAACAGCGATTGAAATGTTGTTTGCATCCTAGCTCCAAAATTTGCCACTTTCCTGAGCTGCGCCCCCGCGGCTTAAGCAGGGCTAGACGTAAGGATAATATCCAGATGCTTTTTTTTTCGCTAGCCCCAAGGGATCATTTGTTATAACAGTTTGAAAATACCCTTCCCACATTTTTGGAATCAGCTAATTAGGGAGGCGTGAGCTCCGCTCAGTCCAAACCATGGTTACATCGTAACATGTGCGCTTATAGTGAATGAAAGTATGGGTGGCCGATTCTCGCCATAGAACCCGGAAGTGAATACACGTTGTAGTCAATGGCAATATCGCGGAGATTGTCTCCGCGATATTGCCATTGACTACAACGTGTATTCACTTCCGGGTTCTATAGCGGGAACGGCCACCCATACTAGTCAATGGCACATATCGCGGAGACAGCGTGGCTCAAGCTTGCAAGTCGCGCATTGGCTGAGCAACTTGCGTACGATATGCATACGCTTGCATATCGCGCGATACAGCTGTTTGGCTAAATTTAGCAAAACAACATAACTCTGCGTGTACGTCTTTTTCGTCGATTCTGAGCAAAATGCTATGAATATTTCAGCATTTTGAAGGGGCTGTATCTTTTGATAGAAACATCGGCGAGACTTGAAATTTGAAATGTATTATTCTGATTACATTTTTAATTCAAATATCAAACAAAAATGGTGAAAAACGATCCCAAATTGAAAATTGAAAAATCGTTCAGACACCCTAATTCTAGGGTCTAACTTCTTATTTAATTTTGTTTTGCTTCCCCCTTTTTTTTTGGTCTCAACTCAAGCACTATCTTTTCAGAGTCTGAATGATTAGTTACAGTTTAATTGCTTGAAGACTGTAAATAGGCAATGCTGTGTAAAATATAAACTCTCTATTTTGTGTACAGTGTGGATGAAAATTGCAAAATTCAACACAAAATTGCAATTTTTATTCACACTGGTTCATAAATAATAATTTTTTAATATTTTTAAAATTTAAATACTAAAGAATGGAAAATACAATCTATTATTACCAATTGGTGGGAGGGAAAACTGGTTAATTTAAAAATAAACAAACTCTGAAGTCTGAACTGCTATAGGTACAGTCAAAGTGAGAATTAGCATGTAATAAATCATAGGCACACAGTATAGATAAGAAGGCCATTGCATTCTTATGCAGTGTCCTTGATTTCATATATTCCAATTCATATATACATGTATCTTTGTAGTCTGATATGCACCGTTTGTTTTGTACTCTGAAACCTGCATATATATATATTTTTTAAATGCTAAAGGAAATGTCTTTATCAGCAGGGCATCTTCATCTTTATAGGTTATAAAAGGACCTGTTCAATGAAAAACACTCTTGACAGGAACATTTACCCGTTTTACTGCAAATTGTTGTATTTTTTAACATTAATATTTTATTCAGGGAATTGTAGTATATTTGTAAATTGAATCACATTGAAATTGAAATGAGATGAATTTTCGTGCTGTGTATTCCTCAGGCTCCTCCGAAGAAGGTTCCCAAGACGATAGAGAACATGAGGGTGTTTGATGAGACCATGGTGAATCCAGAAGACGAAGAGGTAAGATAGGTTGCAGGTTTCACAAAACTTGTCATCAGTGACAAATGACAGTTTTTGTTATAAACTACTGAAATCTTTGCATCTGATTGGTTATCAGCAGATTTGTCACTGATTTTTGGTGAGAGGTTGCCTAAGTCGGAATATTCATCTTAACCAAAGAGTGAAGAGAGAGAAGAAAAAAAAAACTGAAAAAAGAGTATAGTTGTAGTCATCATCATGCAGATAGTATTGCAGTTTCATCATAAATTTAATTTTGAAGTACTTAAATTAGAAAGATACTTTTGAATTTGACAAGGGTACATTTTAGCCTATATCCTTATATTTTTTATCTAAAGGAAATTGTATTTAACTTTACAGGGTAATATATACAATTCATGTATGTTACCAGAGCAGATCTGTAGAATAGAATAATATTCTGGTAATTTAGGAGGTTAGGAACACACTTTTTTTTCCTTATCAGGGATGAAAATCTTAGGTGTGAAATCTTTCTTGATTTATAAAAGGTACTGTATTGTAAATTACAAGATATACATTTCTTTTTTATAAAAACATAGTGTTGACTTCCTGACATTTTCTGTGTTGTCATTTGAGCTAGAATGCTCTGAATTTAATATGAGCAGAAATACTGACTTCTTTGAATCCATGTCTGTTGCAGCATGTGATGTTGTTCATGAATACAAATTGTTTACAAACAGGCAAACTAGAGTCTGGCTCTTATGCATACATGCAGCTTTATGCTAGTCACCATTACATGCATCTTTTGATTTTAAATTCTTCTGTGGAATGTAGGTAACCTATGATGAAGCAACAGATGAAATGGCACCATATTTCAACCGAGAAACATTGCCCAAGGTTCTCATCACAACTTCAGATAAAGCTGCATGGGTAGGTAGAAGCCAAATACAGTTAACTCTACATAACTCAAAGACACATAGGTCAAATTTTCCCTAAGTTGAATACATTTTTTTTTACCAAACTATGCAAAACATGTTATTTACAATTCTAACTATTTTTTGCATTTTAGAGAAATTTGACTTGAAGTGCAGAGTTAATTGTACTCTCCTTAATTGTTCATAATTTGTATTGTCCAATTGTTCTCAATTTCGACGTATAAAGGAATTTTGTTACTTTTCTTTTTTGCTTCTGAAAAAAGGTAAGTTTTCCACCTGCCACCTGTGGGCTTTGTGAAAAGAAACAAATTTACAGCTAATTTCTTATTACCGGTAGTCTTTTTTGAATTGTTGATTAAGAATTCAGTCTTGAGTATGAAAGATTAGGAATTTCATTGTCAATTGTCTTGTTTGTTCTCTTGCGATTTGCAACCCTGTGATTTCATGCAACAGGTCTAATGTTAAACAAAATAAAGAAATATGGAACAAAGTGGATGATTTTCTATTCATGTTTAAACATACTAGTAATTGACAGGAGCCCTAAAAACAATAAAAATCACTTGTCTAATTTATCTGATTTTTTGTTGGTATTCGTTATCGGGAAGTTATCATTAATGTCTGAATTTCTCCTGAAAATAATACCTACAGTATGTGCTTTTGGACAAAAGTAAAGTTATGTATATGATATTGAAGAAAACACATAGAACTACTATCTATCTTGTGACCTCTACCATATTGGTTGACAGACTACCAGGAGGTTATGTAAGGAGTTGAGTAGCTGTATACCTAACTCCGAAGTCCATCATCGAAGGCATCTCCCTCTGAAGAGGATCATCAAGAGTGCACAGGAGAAGGATTTCACTGATCTCATCGTCATCAACAATGACAGGGGCAAAGCTAGTAAGTAGCCCTATGTGCTTGCCACTTAGAATATATAATGATTATGATGATCATGATTTGTATTGTAGTTTTTGAAAAGCATTGCAGTTGGGAAGCAATCAGGAGTTACAGTTTTGAAGTAGTCACCCAAAGAAAATTCATGACTTTTATGAACAAATAATATACGGATGAAAAGATGTTCTCTTGAAAAACATGAATAATTTGCTGAAAAATCATATAGATATCATGGAAAGGCGTAAAATGCTTTATGGCTAGCTGTGTCTCACATGTGACGTCACAAATCTTGACGCTCAATGGTGGACCGCTGAAGGCACAAAGTCTGGATCTCAAAATTAACATTTTTGAGAGACGATTACTGCGGGCCCCAAACATATTTTGAAGAGGGAAGTTGTTATATTTGATCAGTAAGGCTTCCCCTTCGCAATGGTATGAATTTTGCATTGATTCAAAACACTTGATTCTCGAGGTGACTAATTTTAAGTCCTATCCAAGGAATATAATATTTTGTTTGTCTGTATGGAGCCGTAAGGGTGTTGATTCATTTACTTTAACATGGATTTAATGCTTTTAATGTTGTGCTTAAACTCTAGCCTGAGATAATTTTGGCTTTAATGGGGTCAAAGGCCATTGATGGTTATTTCGTGTTGCATCCTGGATTGATAGATGTCAATGTCACTGCTATCTGTGTAGCCATACTTATTTTGCTGTACTGATCAGCATCAATTGTGATTTTGACTAGAGAATGGTAGTTATTCATCTAATCAGAAACCAAACTTACTTTGTACGTTCAAACTTGTGATTGCTTTGAGTCTGATTTTGTGTCATTTTATTTTTTGTCTTCTTAGATGGCATGGTAATCAGTCATTTCCCAGACGGCCCTACGTGTCATTATAAGATGTCCAACGTCAAACTCAGGCAAGACATAAAGGTGAGTGTCGCTGGAGTCTGCTTTTAATCTTGATATCTCCATGATAATATATCATCCATATATTCTTGTATACCACAGTCCCATAGATTCCTCCCAAAGAGACCTTCAATTATTAATCTAGGATGGCCCATTAGGAATTTAAACATGATACAGTGACATGATTGAAATATTATTGTACATGTTTGAAAATCAGCAACCTGTTAATATTTTATTCTCAACCAAATATTGGTCATATACTGTTTTTGAAAATGCTTCAAAACATAGATCAGATCGCACACCAGAGTGCATCTAAGAACCCTAGAGCCCTTAAAAGCATTGCTTAACAATGTTAAATCTGAGATACACGGCCCTACGTGTTATCAGTGTCTGTGATATGGTTCAAGTTCACTTTATTCAATACTTTCATTAAAAATATACAAGGAAAGCAAACATATAAAAGTTAGAAAAAATTCATGTATCAATATATAACATGAGGATAACACAAGTGGAGAAGACATGATGGACAAGGGAAAAAACATTTTTAAACATGTACATTAATGCAAGTATTTGGAGACTAGACAGGAAGGCCGGGACTTATGTAAAAGTCTGTCTCCAGTAATTGTATAAAAAACTAAGTACATTATTTAAATTATGTATTTGTTATAAAAAGGAAGGAAAAAAAAGGGGGGAATTGCATTCACACATACACTCTTTCCCATACACACCAACACACACTTTTCTGTCTGATGAACATTAAGAATATAGGTTATTGCACTATTTGAGTATTGTCTTAACAGGTACAGTTTAAATTTTCTTTTAAAACTATTTAGTGATGGACTCAGTCGAATATCTATGGGTATGTCATTCCAAATTTTTGGACCCCTGAAAAAAATTGTATTTTGGGAAACTAGTGTCCTTACTCCTGGAATATGAAAATTATTTAAAATCCTGGTCTGGTGGCCATGAATATTCTTATTAAGTTGAAAATATTGTAAAATAGTATTTGGTAAAAGTTTTTTAAAGCATAGATACATAAAAATTGCACATTGATAAACATAAATATCGTTTACTTTAAAAAAATGTAGGTTGTAAAAAAGAGGTAAAGTATGAGCAAGGTATTGGCTGTGCGATATAATTCTTATAATTTTCTTTTGTAAAATTAAAAGCCTATTTGTATTTTGCATACTAGAGCATGCCCATACAAGAATACAATAATTTAAGTGGGGTAATATTAATGTATTATACAAAATTATCAAAATTATCAATATTTCTGTAGGTAAAAATTTCAATTTATAAAATATACCAACATGTTTAGCCAATCTATTGCAAACGACACCAGTGTGTTCCTTTCAATTTAATTTATCATCAATTGTGACTCCTAAAAAAGTTAAATGTGTAACGTATTCAATAACTGATTCCTTAACTTTAACCTTTATTTGGGTAACATCAATGTTTTTTTTGGTAAAAATCATGAAGTGTGTTTTTTTAATATTGATTACAAGTTTATTTATATATAACCAATCAACCAGTTTAGCAAATTCTGTATTAAACATATTTTGAAGAGATACAATATCTTGATGGGACATAAAGTCATAAACACACTAGTGTCATCTGCAAATAATATCAGTTCTAATACTTTTGAAACATTGCAAATATCATTTACATATAACAGAAATAATAATGGCCCAAGAATTGAGCCCTGGGGCACTCCACATCTTATCGCCATTGTCTGTGATTCACATTTTTCTAGAACAACATAATGTTTGCGATTACTTAAATAACTTTTGAACCATTTCAGTACAATACCTCTAAAACCATAACATTCCAATTTTTTTAATAATATTGAGTGATCAAGAGAATCAAAAGCCTTGCTAAGATCTAAAAACAGGCCAATCATTATTTCTTTATTATCAAAGGCATTTGTAACTTTATGAATAAAATCAGAGATGGCAGAAGAAGTAGAGTGTCCCGCTCGAAAACCAAATTGTTTGGGAGTAATAATATTGTACTTTTCCAAGAATTTATATACACGACTATATACACATTTCTCTAAAATCTTTGAAAAAATAGGAAGAATAGATATGGGCCTATAATTTGATAAATTAACATTTGATCCATTTTTATAAATAGGAATAACCTTTGCAATTTTAAATTTGTCTGGGACAACACCAGTATTTAAAGATAAATTGATAATATCACATAAAGGGTAACATAAAATATGAATAACATTTTTAACTAATGTGATATCCACTCCATCAAAACCAGGACTCTTGCCATTTTTAAGTTTAGAAACAATATTAATAACTTCTTTTGGTGTACACGGAGTAAAAAATGCAGATGAATTATTTTTTATTACATGTTGCATACAGTCCCCAGAATTTACAAAAGAAGAAGACAGTGTATGGCCTATATTTACAAAGTATTTGTTAAAAGCATTACATATTGCTGCTGTCCCATTTATCATTGCATCCTTGCACTGAATTGAACTAGGTATTACCTTCTTCTTTACACCCCTACCCAGTACTCCATTGATTATTTTCCATGTGTTTTTCATATCACCTGCAGCATTTTGAAATTTACCTTTAAAATATGCTCTCTTTGTTTCTTTAATTTCTTCAGTTACCTTATTTCTGAAATTCTTGTATTTTTCATGTCTTTCTGAAATTGGTTTTTTAATATATCGTCTGTATAAGTAACATTTTTTATTACAGAGCTTACGTAGTGGTTTATTAAACCATGGTTTATTTTTGAATTGCTTTTTAACTGACTTTTTAATTGGAAAGCATGACTCATAAATGTTTAAAAACTTTTGCAAAAAATCATTATAGGCTTCATTAGCATCATGATTTTCAACAGACCAACATACATTCATAATTTCATTTACAAAAAGCTGTGAATTTTCTTTATTAAAATTACGTTTAACGGAAGCATTTTCCTTTTTTTATTTGTAACTGTAGATTTGAGATTGAAAAAACTGGAAAGTGATCACTGACATCATCGAGGATAACACCTGCAAATATTTCTTCTAAGTCATTAGTCAAAATATTATCTTACAAGGAAGCAGAATGATTGGTTACACGTGTTGGAGTATGAATCAGAGGGTAAATGTTGTTAAACATACAAACATCAAGAAATTCATTGACTCTCTTGCAAGATGTAACTTTTAATAAATTTAAATTAAAATCACCCATTAAATACAATAATTTATTTTCTTTTTTTACAATATTTAAAATTTCATCAAATGATTCAATAAAAGATTGCACTGATTGGTTTGGTGGACGATAAATTACCCCTACTATAATATTCTTGGTGAAATTAGAATAGACTCAAAATGAACAGTATTTAAATCTAAATCAGCTCTACTTTTAAAATCTATATCATTTCTAATATATATTGCAACTCCTCCACCTCTTTTAGCTTCTCTCCCATTACCTAAAAATGAATAATGATCAATGTTATAAAAACAATCACTCTCTTTCAGCCACGTTTCTGTTATACCTAAAAGCGAAAATTGCACATCCAAAGTATTAAGAAATATAGTTAAATTTTCAAAATTCTTTTTCATACTCCTGCAATTACAATGCAAGCTAGAAAAGACACGTGAATAGTTCTTTAATTTTGTTTTACTGTAATCATTAAATTCATCTGGGGTATAAAAAGATTGGGAAGGCCCGTAATTGTATCCATTTTCATTATTCTCAGGAGACAGATATTCATAAATAGTTTGTAAATCAATAGATTGTAAAGATTGCACATAACTTTGTTTCTCAGACATGCTCACTACACACATAAACAGACACACCTACAAATATAAAAATGAAAAAAATGCAACAGAAAAAAAGAAAAAAGAAAAAAAGAAGTTCAATGAAGATAAACGGCAAAAAACAAAACAAAAACAACGACAAATGTTCGATGTATTGTAAGAAGAAAAGCCACTAGGAGCCTATATAAAATTCATCAAGAACTGAAGATCATTAAATAGAGATAACAAATTACAGCTTCTGTAAGTCCTCTTTGCGTGTAATGAGATGCTTCATTGTCTCATTTGTAGTTGTAGCACTTACATAAATACGTCCATCTAATGACCATGCTGCTAGAACCTTAGAGCAGGCCTGGACATCACTCAACAGTTTGAAGTTAGATGCTGTCAGGTCTTCAAACACAGATATGTGAGATCCTTTCAGTTTCCTTCTATTTGCGATTAGCTGTTGACGGCATTTGTAGGAGCGAAACTTTACGATGATACCCCTGCTCCTAGCCTTGTCAGCTGGAACTTTTCCTACACGGTGACTGCGATCGATGTCACTTGGGTCGAGGGTGATTCCCATTTGCCGTGCGACATCATAAACGATTTCATCTGTATTTTCTTGCAGTTTTTCCTTCACTCCAAAAATGCGTACACAGTTTCGACGCGAGTACTGCTCCAATGAATTGATGTTTCGTTTAAGGCTATGCGCTTCTTCATTACGGCTGTTACGCTCCTTCTGAAGCGATTTGAACTGTTGATCCTGTTGATCCTTCCCATTCTGAACACCCATGAGGTCACTCTCCAGCTTGTCACATCTGGTCTCCATAGAACTCAGCTTTGTCTCTAGGTCACGTATTTGAGCATCCCTCACTTTTCCTGTTGATACAAATTCAGTGATGCAAGCTTCTTGTTGTATAAGTCTGTCTAAAATTGTACCAAGTTTCTTCTCTACGCCATCTGAAATTGCCTGAAAGAACTCCTCTTTTTCAAAAAGTTCAGCCAGAACGGCTTTAACTGTCTTGATAGACATTGTAAATTGGCAAGAGGATAATGAAAATATCACAAGACAAGGCAAGAGCACTGCGCCGGAAGTCACGGTACTACAAATGTCAATAAATACAGCAAGAGAAACAGGTGGGACTGAACAAACGATTGATGTGTAACTTTAATACAAGCTTGTAATCCGAAAAAATAAGGACCAACTCCAAACTGCTGCCACACTTGACTCCTAATATTGGCGGTTGATGATGTTTAGAAGCACTACATATCAAAAACAGTCAAATGAAGATGATGAAGAAGAGATATGAGTAGTAAAATAGAAAATTCTTGCAGCTAAAAAAACTCGTAGGAGACGTCAAAGAGCGCCATCTTTGTTATAATATTGAAGCCCTCAAAATGATCGAGAAATGCCTCAAAAAAGTAAAAATCTTTGAGTGACCGTTTTTACCATACTCGTTTTCCCCAATAGACCGTAGTGTTATGAAAAACGTTAGGAAAACACATAATTTGGTTTCAATTTCCAGTCATAGATATCTTGATAATCAGACAGGCGATCGGCTTGTAAAAGTCATGGGGTTCCCTAATGACTGACCTAAAGGTTTATAATAATCATTGCAGCATGAGCAAAATCCAGGATTTTGTTTCAGAATCTGAGACAAAGTGTTACCGGATCCCTTTAAGCAAGCCCCGCCAAAAGGCACTTAATGATTTGCACACAGCAGCTCCTTCCACTTTCCAGTTTTACATGTTTGTTTTTTGTTTTTGGACCACCCTGGTAGATCATACCACCTTATATATTTTCACCTATCCATGCTCTTGGTATTGGCTTTCAATTTCGCAGAGGTGTGGGAAGCCAACAGAACACCAGCCTGAACTGATCCTTAACAACTTCAACACACGCCTTGGTCATAGTATAGGCCGGCAGATCGCTGCCCTGTTCCCTCACGATCCAAACTTTGTTGGACGTAGGGTCGTGACGTTCCACAACCAGAGAGACTTTGTTTTCTTCAGACATCACAGGTATGTATTAACAGAGCTGTGTATCAGTGGTGTAGTTGTGATGGGAGGAGGTAGTAGGTGCAGTCGGTAGAGTATCTGTCTTTTACACAAAGACTGGGTATATCCTGTTTGGGTAGATAACTTAAATCAGGACTGTAATACTTGTAGCTACTTGTGCCCTCTATCTAGAAAACAATGCCTAAACGGCTCCCGTTGGTCCCCCATGATCTCCTTTTTCTTAAGATAATTGAGAGCTGATTAGATGAGATAACCACCTGTCAGTGACCATGTAGGGAGGTCTAATCCCTCCTAGCCAAACTAGTGCAGACAGGCTTTAAGCCTGCACTGTGTAAAAATGTACCTCCAATTGCCTAAAATATCAAAAATGACGAAAGAGATTGACACACTCCATGCACTGGGTAGGACCGTAAAAGTAGGTCCACTAGGAGAGCCATGCCTGATACCATGTAATTGTACTCCTTTGTTTCCTAGTTAGCTGTAGAGAAGGGGGTGGGGGGGGTGTCTTAGATGGTTACCTTTAAAAAAAAAAACTCTTTTCCCCGCTGAATGATTGATATTAAAATAATAATGATTATATGGCGAATTATTAATTTCAAAGAAGTGTAGAAGAATGCGAAATTTGTTCTCAAAATACATATGCCCTATGAGTATCTGTGCTGGTGAATATCGCTTTGTATATGACGTCGCTATTTTCATTATATGATTTAACCCTTTGTCAAGATGCAATATGTGTCCTGTGTTCAATAGAAGTACTTATCTTTTGTACAATTTCCTCAAAATTGCAGATACGTGTTCAAAGACAACAAGAAAGTAGGCTTACAAGAGCTTGGTCCCAGGTTTACCCTCAAGCTTAGATCATTACAGAAAGGAACATTTGACTCCAAGTTTGGTGAATATGAGTGGGTACACAAGGTAAGTGCATCCATCATGATGGGGAGGGGGAAAGTTGTGGTGATGATAATTTTTTGGGAGGAGGGGGTATCCTTTATCGCTAAAGATGGTGCTTTAGACGTTGAGTTGTAATGGAGGCATTACGTTTTCCCGTTGTCCGTCCGTCCGTACGTCTGTACGTCCCGTTCTCGTGATCGCGTTATCTCAAGAATTGATTGATGGATTCCTGCCAAACGCATGATATGTATGTACCTTGCTGAGCCAATGAACCGATTAGATTTTGGGGTCATGAGGTCAAAGGTCATGTGGCTCATTATATATGCAAAAATTGCTTGTGATCGATATTCCAAGAACCTGTTAATGGATTATAATTAAACTTGAACTTGAAAATTGCTTCTGTTTTGGTTTGTGAAATCGCTCTATGGCGGAGGCATCAATTTTGAATGCGCGCAGTCGAAGTTCCATCTAGTTTTGGTTTAGCTGTCCTGCTGTTTTTTTTTCCATTGTGATATTGTATTAGGCATCTGTCATACAAGATATTGGGGTATTCATAAAGTCACCTTTATTCTAGAACCTTTTTGTATTTTCTAAATGGATTAGGAAACTATCAATTATGATTTTTGTATGATTTATGATTAGTAAACTATTCTCATTACTGTTGGTAATTATGTTCGGAAGATGAATCCTGGCTATCTCCAATGTGTGCCTCTCGGATGTAATTTTGAGCCACTTTAATACAAGATAATATCAAAGAAACTTCAGACGAGTGAAAGGGAGCACCATCCAACTATTGCAATGCGTATATAGATAGCTAGCTGTGTGACTCGACTACGGGTCGAGGCATGCTATGACCCGAGACCGGATCTGCTCTGTACAGCTTCATGAAATAGCCCGGAAGCGACCAAGTCACCGGGCTATCTCTGAGTGCATTTAAATTGGGGGCATGAAAGTAACATCCGGGCATTTAGGGGTAGTGTAGATAGCAAGAAATGACAACATGACAGAAACAGTTACATTCAGATAATTTCATGCAATTACTTTCTACAAAATTAATTTTTCTTTTCATGATGATGAGCCCTAATGTATGTCAAAATGTATGACTGATTTTGTTTCTATTTTCATTAAATACCTGAACTAACGGTAAGGTGTGAATGAAAATTCCTCATACACCCCATTTTATGAAGCTTATTTTGTTATTTTTATGTCCAGCATTTATGTGATTTTCTTCTTTTGATTTTCTCATTTTTATGCAGAGGCACGAAATGGATTCAAGCAGGAGAAAATTCCATCTCTGATCTTATTCCTACATGTATATATAAGTTTATTCATGAGTCTAAGGAGACTGACTGAACTGTACAAAGTTATATAGTCTGCTGCCCTCGCATGGTGACTGAAAGATACTACATTTCACCGAAGTTGGTGAGCTCTAGAAAGAACTCCAGATTGTTGGATTTTGACAGTTCCAGTATTCCACTTGCATAGCCCGGCTCTCATTACAAGAAAAGATGGAGAAAATGGGCCAGGTTTAAAGGCACCTTGTGATTTTTGTGAAGCTTAATTTTTTTCCATCCGATGTCTTAAAGTTTACCCGATAATCAGTGAGATTGCTTTCAATTTACGATACAATGTTTTCTTTTTGTATCTTCAGTCATAATTCTAAAACAGTGAATTTCAAGGAAAACACCGTTTTGGAAGTTGTGCATATCTCAGAACGTTATATATCAACCTCTATGACTCTCTAGATTGGTCAGAAAAGTGCTGACAAGACATAAACTTTATGTATCAAGAATAAACCATGTTGTTGTAATCATTATATGGAAATAGGTAAGAAAATTCATGCCAACCATATGGGCAACAATGTAATTAGCAATAATTTAAGTGGGATGTCCATGAACTTAGACTGATGATAGCTTCAAGAATATGGCTCCTGGGGCCTGTTTCATAAAAATTATTATCAATAACAAATGACAAATTTGCTCTCGGCCAATCAGATGCCACAATTTCAGTAGCTTATAACAGCTGTTGGAACTTGTTATTGATAACAAGTTTTATGAAACATGGCCCTGGTTGTAACAAACATTACCGTGTGAATCTAATGGCTGCTGCCAGCATGATTGGCTAGTCCATGTGATGGTATATGATGCAATGTAGAGAGCGATAGAGGCAACCTCTGAAAGACATCTGCAGCAGCAAACTATTGCTATTTGCCATCGGCCATTTTCATAAAGTAACCCAATTAAATGCATACGTCTTTGTAATTTGTAAAGTACCTCAATACAAATTATTTCATTCACCTCTTACAAATAACTGTATCTCAACAGTCGGAATGAGACTTGTTTACATTTGTTGTTGCTTGGTCGGTCAAACATTATACCTTGCCCTACGTAACAACCCATAATATATGCAGATTGCATTTTGACTATTGAAATACAATCATCAATAACGGATAAATGAAATAATTCGTATTGAGGCACTTCACAAAGATGTAAATGCTTTAAATTTGGTTGCATTACAAAAATGGCCTATACATGTACTGGGAGTAGGTCCAAACACCCACACGATAGAAAAAATTAGATTCTGATTACACACCTTCACAGGAATAAGACTATATTTTATTCATATAAATGTTATCAATGTGCTCTCTCATACATGTACATTGAATATTTACCTTGTGTGTCAAAATAAATAACGTGCAAAACCTTCATCATTTATTAAAAAACATTAAAAGTAGTGAATCATGATAATTGTGTCACTTTTTATACTTGGCGGGCTCAACTATGGTATGTTTAAGAAAGTGTAGTTATAAACATTTAGCTTCACATTACAGCTTCACATATATAGTTCCTCATTCTACCCTCAACAATTGCTATGGTAGACAAAGGAACATCCCTTCACTGCTATTATGTAAAAATCTGTAGAACAGGTGTCACATGCATATTCACCTGTTCTACAGATTTTTTACATAATAGCAGTGAAGGGATGTTCCTTTGTCTACCATAGCAATTGTTGAGGGTAGAATGAGGAACTGTATATTTTGTCCGCTTTCTTTGTCCGTCATGTTCATAGTGATAATTAACAAGGTTTGTTTATTCTGTATGAAAATTTAATTCAGGACTTGGTAGTCCATTTACAAACTATGTAAAGCATATAAGAGAGAGAGAAAGAAAGAGAGAAAGAGATGAGAAAACTTATATTTAATCAACAGTCATGTGCAATTAATAATACATTTTTAAGAAGAAAAAGAACACCCAAGTGCTTTTTTATTTTACATATAAAAATATCTTCTCCATAGTAAGCAAACATCGTAAGGAATGCGACAAAAATAATTCATCCATAAGTCAACAATAATTCTGTCCTACTGTAATAATACAAATCATTTTTCTGCTACACAACTTTTAGTATCTGCCTTTTATATGGGCGCCATTGGCTAAAAAAACTAAGTGCACATTTTGGTAGAATTATAAGAAACGGGTGCATATAGGATTCAAAACCACAGGGATAATAAGCAGGCCCACACATGAACACGCATTTTCTCTCTACTTCAAATCGCTCCTTCCCTAATCTCGATCTTTCCTTGGGAAAGGGTTAGTTATTTTTCCTGTAAATAGAGAGAAAAAGGGAGGGAGGAATAGAGAGGGAGGATAGAGAAATATTCGAGGGAGAGTATATAGCTTACGATTGAGAAAACAGAGAGAGAGAGAGAGAGAGAGAGAGAAGAGACAAAATAATGGCTAAATGATGAGGAAAGCTAGGATGCTTAGGAATTTACAGCATTTGTTGAGGGCAAAATGGTGTTGCAGGCATGCCAGTCATAGTGTCAAATTTCTTCATGGTTTTCACACAACACGATCGAAATTATTTCGAAAGATCAACCCAAGCCAATTTCAATGGCCTCGTACGTCACCTTTTGAAATGTGTGAATATTGTAATGACGTAATCTTGTTGAAACCTGGTCATTTAAAAGGTCAGGATATACACGAATTACAAATAGCCAATTTTATGTTTTTGTGCTTACACAATTTGCTAAGTTTAATTTAGATAATTGTTTTCATAACAATCGTTCGTTTGTTCCATACTCTACCAGACAGTCAAGTCACATTCGCACCCCTGAATGATGAAGTATGAATTTTCTTGTACCACAATCACATTTAATGATCCAAAGTTGTGGAATGGTCTTGAGTCTTATATAAAGAGTTGCCCTTCTCTGTTTTGTTTTAAAAAGAAATATAAAATTGAACTGATCAAGTATTACGTCCCTGATGGAACTGACACTGGTAAAGTCCATCGATCGTTTTCCATTTAAATGTCATTTCTGAAACTATATGCATTCACTGAGCATACACTATCATTGTTTGGTCACTTTTATACATTTTGAATCTAACATTGATCCATGAATGGCGCCTCGGAGCGCTTTGTATCAAGTGGAAAAGGCGCTATATAAATTGCAGCTCATATTTCAACTACTACCATTGGTCCATGAACATCTATCCAGTTCGCTGAATTCTCAGAGTACTGCATAAACAGTTAAGATTGTGTTAATACATCTCATAGAAAATAAAATACTATACAACCAATACCCTCTTTTGGTTATCATTTGATGGAGTACATATTGCAGAAAATGAGGCGTATAATGTACAACTGATACATACATAATGATATCATGATCAAAGTTATTGCAATTTTCGTAAGAGAAATAACATGGCATACGTCATGTATCTCATACAGTCATCTTGATACATATGCCAACAAAATCTTGTCATCTTCATAGACTGTAGCATAAAACAATGGAATAAAAATAGAGACCTTAATTACATAGGGCAGTGAATGCAGACTGTCTGTTATGAAAATAAACTTGTACTGTTCAGTGTGAAATAAAATATAAAGTGCGCATGATATATCCCAGGAATTCTAGTTTACATGGATATATTGCGTTGGCTATACATGTATATACACAAGCTTAATTATCAAAGGCACTATATGCACATATACGCAATATAACAACTCCAATATTCATACCCCTTGTAAAAAAAATGATGTGTTTCCGAAACTCAAGAATGATATGTGGACTGGTTGAACTAGGGCCTTTGTTAAATACTTTTAGATGTAAGCTTCGATATGTCACATTCTCAGGAAACATGATTGAGGACAACTCAATTTTCCACATACTTAAATTTTGACAAAACTTGGTAAGGGTATGAATAATTTAGTTGTGAGCTGCAGTCACTCCTGATTCTCCTTCTGTCAAGGCACGTCTCCAGACCTATAGTCTTCATTACTGAGTTTCTGTACTTTCAAGGTATTCATTTAGACTTTCCAACCTGTAAATAAAATATATAGACATACAGTACTTTCTATGTAAGTTTCTGCCGTTTGGTGATCGCGGCAGGAGCATCATGCAAATCACCTGCAGTTCTTGATCAGTGGCTGTCTTGTCCAACAGTCCAAGTCATCTATAGTGAACCTACCAGACACTCGAATTCCTACATGCAGTCACCAGATATATCTTGATCATTCCGTTTTACTACACCAATGGCTAATAAACAACTTCAACCGCCCCTCCCCCTTCTGGCCTTTTCCACCAGGCAGCATTATCGTTATACTTCCACCCTTGCTTCCTCAAGACAGTATATATCCATCACGTACATGTTACCGTGATATTCATAATGTAATCCATATTTTTCCCATTACTTTCGGAAGCTGTTCATCAAATTAACAAATCATCCACTCGACCAGCATGTTGATAATATGTTTAAATAATTCTAAAGCACGTAGACATAGGTAAATTTGCAATCATGCTCATCAAGTACAATGTCTCGATCTCTTTCCATGTAATGGGCTAAATCGAATACAGCCATCCTTGTTGAATCATAACAGTCACCTCAAACGACGGAGTTATACTGTCGTTGATTTAGCGAAAAGAATGTGTCACATAAAAGTGTCTTCAGTGATGTCAGACATAATGACATTCATAAACCTGACCATCGTCACCAATCTCAAACTGAAACTGTCCGTCTTTCAGATCAACCTGAGGCGTTTCCATATGAGATAGACCTATCGTGTTGATTTCTACAGCATGGCCAGAAATGGTGAACATGTTTTCATTCTGGTTCATATGGGACATTCCAAACTGTCCTGGTTCATCATAACTCTCCTCCTTGGAAGGCTTTCTGCTCAACACCCCTGATCCTCTCGTGGTACGCATACTGTACTTGGTGACGCTCCCGCTCGACTTGCTCGCAAGAACTGACGCATCAAAATCATCATTACTTTCAGTTCGGTCAAATGAATATCCGTTAGATAAATCCGTACTCGACATCTGCGCCACCATGGGATGCTCCTTTCTTGTTGAGCCATTTGAGAGGGCGCCATTGCCGTTGTTCGACACAGCACCGTTACGTGGAGTACCATTGTGCGACTGCAGGATGGGGCGAGGTTCTAAGAAGGAAGCAGTCGAGTCGCGGACCGCCGAGACAGTGAGGTAGAGAGGGGTAAAATGCTTGAGCTGTACGATTCTTTCCTTGTCCCGATAATGGACGACTCCAGAATTGGCGCCGCATGATTGATTACATCCATGCCCTGTTGATAAATGGATACAGTTAAACAAATAAAGAATTAGATTAGGCCTACAATTATTGTATTTCTGCATTGCATCCCCTTCATTTGGAATATCGAATTATATCCTGTTCAAGACCTTTTGTAAGGTCATATTCATATTCTCTAACTAAATATTTAATGGCATACATTCTTTGTTCGCCAAAATAAGTCCGACTGATTTTTAATTTGAACGGGTAAAAATTATATACACCAATGTTAACCAATGGAATGAATAGAAAAGCTTCCCCTAAAGTATGCGAGAATATTATGATTGCCTCTATAAACCTTTTCATCCTCTTCTTATAATTATCTTTATATAAGTTTTATTTTTAAAATTCTTAAAAACGCGTACTAGATTTATCAGTATTTAAGAAAAAAATTGTGCTCTATTATAACAACCAGTTAGGTTGTGACTTAATGTTTCGTCAACACTAAAATAAAATAAGCGAGAATGAATGGAATAGAAATATACTAAAGGTATTGCAGAAACGTACATAACATGAAAGCTATTTCAACAACAAAGTTACATTCCGAAAAGGCCTGTTGGCATATTCGTTTCCAAGAGAGAGATTGAGCAAATGAAATCAATTTGTTGCAACAACAACAAAACAGTTTTATGCTATCATTAAATATACAGGAACTACAAAAGCCAAATAAATTCAAGTTCAAATGATTGATCAAAAGAGTACAATTTTATCAATACAGGTGCAAATGCACAATCGAAACGGACAGACAAAATTAATGGTCGTTGTGATGGTACAATAGCGGTCAGGGGAAACAAGGGTTACCTGCCATTCCCGCGTAAAAAAAAATCCCGGGTCTGACACTGTAACCACCTCAAAGTTTCACACTTCCAATCCATTTTCTGGATGATTTGTTTTATGAATTTTGAGATCGAGTCGGAAGTGCAGGGTTGGAACACATTTCCGTGAGATAAAATAAAATAATTTGAAACAATCACAAGAATGTTATAAAATACCGTAGCTGAGATCCCGGGACTTCCCCCTTGAATCTTTGAAAGGTACGTTGCCAATGGTGACCGGAAAGGAGATATTTAGTTCGGGCTTCTCATCCACTATAAGAGCAATCTAAAATGATTGGAAATATGAGAGTAAAAAAAAAATAACCATATCAATAGTGAGAGAAGGTTTTTTTTAATATTATTTGATATAGAGTACGATTTCCTTGTCCGCATCTACTATGGAAAAATAAAACAGTAACAACAATAATAACAGAAACAAGAACCACAAGAAGTAAGCTGCTCCACGTAGGGCTTACATACGTTGGCTCTTCATCCTACCTGTACACTACTACTCGAAAAAGTAGATACATGCAGGCTTATTAACAATAACTTTCAGTACACGTTTTAAATTCAATGCTGAAGACTTCGAAAAAGAAATATAGAATAATGCCTTGAGGCTAAATAATTTCAAGGGCGTACACCGGCAGTTCAAATCAAGATCTTCTTTTAGAGTATTTTGTTCCTTAACTCTCTTCATGAGGGATAGTATGAATGTATAATTCATGATCAGCTGCACATAAGACAGTGGATTTGGATTCACATGACATGAGTGTGTATGACGCACCATCTCATAAATGCATTGCGTTGTCATGGTTTCCGCATTATTTATTTATTCCAAATAATTTTGTCAAACATTTGAAGGTAAGGTTGATTAGTATGCTAGTCATGCGATTGCTTTGTGAAAGAAAGCAAGAACAATTTTGAAAAGTTAGACATGTAGCACATGAGAATAATAACTGGGTACTTTAAGGTTTTCATGGTTTTGAAATCATAAAAATCATAACAAATTGCTCATAACAAAAATGACATACAATGACAAACACTATACTGAGGTATAGGTATAATAAACTATACATAATATATGTGACCTCAGATTTCAGTTCAAAGTTTTATATCATTATCAGTTCGTTTGTAACATGAAGCCATTCAAGAGCTATCCTTTAGTTCACGTGACATTTCTACTCTGAATTTCCTCCTCATAGAAATAAAAGGAACATGGAAGTTCACAAGTTATTATTGATTTCATCAAATTTTACAAGGAATTGTACAAATCATGCCCATTACCTATAATGGATGATTAATTTTGTGTACAGCTAAAATGTTTACAAATTCAACCTAAAAAATATTTTACCCAAATTTCTATGGCTAACGTATAAGGAGTATGAAGAAACAAATGATATCATAAAACCCTATCATAATAGCGGCCCTATCATAACGTCAGCACGTACGGGTGCGTCGAGAAGTCTACTCACAAATTACTTTTATGGCTATTAAATAAATTGAGAGTGTATTTAAACTTTCAAAATCTCTCCATAGAATTATTATTTGAAGCGCATGTTTTAAACAAAGTATTGGGACATGGAACTACTCACATTTTGTGTGTGGTTGATATTCTTTAAGACTTACTTCTATACTGTATTGCAAAACAATATGCCTTGTTTCAACTGATGAAGGTACTATAGGGATCTGTAACATCCTTGCAGTACGAAGACAGTATTCTTGGTCTGGCTGCACACAGGGACTACTGTAGCTTAGTATCTCATAAGAACCCGCCTTGGTCATCCGCTTTGGAAGTTCTGCTATGAAGGTGACATTCTGCCACAAAGAACAAGGTGACACATTACGTCACAAAAGAAAATAAATCATAAATATTAAATGAATAAATAAATGCAATTGAAAAGCAGCTGTCCCTAAAACCACGTCATACAGATAAGCTTGAAAGTCATTCCATTTCAGGATATTACCCATACATGTGGTAAATGGAGACAACAAATAGCAAAGGCTAGTCAAGACACATTCATAAGAAACTGGTAAAGAATCATTCTAATTAATTCAAGTGTCATGGCACCAGAGTCGAGAGGTAGGTCTACACATTGAGGGGAAACAGGAATGAAGTGGGGGGGGGGGGGGGGGGGCATCGTTCATCCTTGGGAAATGAAATGAGCATTTGCAAGAGTAGGAGGAGGATTCATAAGCTCATCCAAATGTCTTCTTTTCTCGTCTTTTCCCCCTTCTTTCTTCCCTTTCTCTCTTTCCTCCTTCCATTTATCTCTTTGCTCACCTCGTGTTCATTTTTTAGTAACTCAATTAGGGGGGGGGGCACCTGCCCTCTTGCCCCATATAGCTACACCACCGCATCGAATCATGAATACATTGTATAGATGAGCGATCATCTTTCATCTCCGATTTGCTTTCGAAAAGGTACTTAACATTTTGAGTTTCTTATCGGAAATCCTTTGGGATGGAAAAATTATACACTCGAATAGCTTTAAATGATCAATTTTGAACACGATATAAGTAAAAATAAATCGTGAGTTTCAGAGATATCAAACATAAAATTATCTATATTCTACCACAGAAGATTTCCTGACAATATATAACTTGTTATATGTGGTTGCAGTATGCATTAACTTCACACTTGCATACATGCATGAAGGAATAATGATAATGCATATAATGCTTCTATTGGGACCTGATTTTCTCACTCATTTTCCCACTCAGTTTTCTCACTAAGTTGATTGATCCGGGAGTGTAAATTTTGACAGGCATAGCGCATTATACATATTCACTATTACCATTTAATTTTTCACTATCGATTGAACATTAAGCAGTGGTAGTGTTATTTTCAAACTAACTACGATGCTTTCGAAAAGAATTTATAATTTTCCAGACAACAAAGAAGACAATAAAATTAAAATGTAGCTTATGCGTCGCACGGTGTGACAATACCTTGTTGATTTACATATCATATTATCATATTGATAATTCATTTAAATGAGCAACATGTTTTACCCTTATTTATGATCAGAACTGAGATGAGAACGCAACATATACGTATCCGTATTTAAAAAATAATTAGCATTCAGTTGAGAAAGTTAAAAAAAAGAATTACCTGTAAAAATTTGACCCCTAGCCTCATGACCTTGTCCGAGTTGTTCTCCAGTCTTGTTTTGATATTCACATATTCCCCAGCACAGTATGCGTTCCGTTGCATCTCTGCCTTTAAAGCTATAGGCCCGCTGGATCGGCAACAGCAGTGAAGCAACGTTTTCCGATCCGATGCATGTACAGTTTTCTGTATAGAAGGGAGACAACCATAACGATCGATTTGTTGAATGGAATATAATGCTTATTTTGACACTTTATTCTGAAAACATGAATGAATAAACAAAGACATGAACGTCGATGCTCCCATCCATCTCGTTACATTCTCCAGGTGTATCGTCTGTTTCACACGATTTTTTTTCTGCACCATCTCTCGCTCCCATCCTCCCGCTCTCTTTCCGTCTCTCTATCTCTACCCCCTTCTCTCTCTCTCTTTCCTTCTGATTGGAATCGTTGACCAATGTTATCTTCTGCGGATCTATAATAAAAAGAACGTTAATGGATTTTTCATTAAAGCTTAAACATAACTGATTTTATCATCTGTGTTCATAATATATCTTTCATCATTTCCATTAGGAAATTTACATATCAATAGTACAAGACAGGGGGCGAATAGGCAAATAGGGTTATACCATGGACCTACTACGAATGGTTATACAGACTATCTTTGATTTGGATGGTTTCCTACTAAAGACAGATATGTTTGTCAGCGAATTGTGAGTGTGTTTGATTTTGTGTGCGTGTGCGCGCGCGTGTGCGTTGTGCGTGTGTGTGATCGAAAAGCGGGGATAATAATCCCCAGTGTAGACGTACCCTATGGCGACAAGTTTTATCGGTGGAGTTGGCGGGGGGGTTTTCACATTTCCCACACGAGGACAACAAATCGAGGTAAATACAGACATTAGGACAATGATATTGTCACTGTGAAGACCTACAAAAAAATTGCTCGCGTTTTGCCCTGACTTAAAGGGATCCGATAAAAAGTCTTAGATCCTTTAAAACAAATCCTTGATTTAGTTCATGCTGCAATGATAATTATAAACCTTTAGGTCAGTCAGAACCCCATGACCTTTACAAGCCGATCGCCTGTCTGATTATCGAGATATTTATGATTGAAAATCGAAATCAAATTTTGCGTTTGCCAAACAGTTTTCATAACACTACAGTCTTTTGGGGGAAAACGAGTATGGTAAAACCGGTCACTCAAAGGTTTTTACTATTTGAGGCGCTTCTTGATCCTTTTGAAGCGCAAATTTGTAGGGCTTCAATATAACACCATATCACAGACACTGATAACAAGTAGGGCCGTGCATCTCAGATTTAACATTGTTAAACGATCCCTATTTTACTGCTGACCGATTTTTCTTGCCAAAACAGAAAATTGCTTTTGATTTCATAATTTAAATCTTTTTCTGTTGCTACACTGGAACAGAGTTTCATGATTATGTCTTTCATGTCATTACTTTTTTCACATCTACGTTAGATCACGTGACGCGCAAAACTGGAAATATTTGTTATGAGACACCGCCTATAATTCATCGAGAAAATTAGTTCCTTATAGCCCTTAGGGACGGTATTTCGTATTAATTAGCCCTATCCAAATTCAGATAACGACACCAAAATACATTGAAACATGCAAGTTTCATATCTATGGGCGTACACCTATAGCTTTTCATGATACGTTACCTGGATTAGGCTGGATAAATAAATTGAAAAGCACGGGAATTGACCTACAGAAAATCTAAGATGTCTGGAAACATAAAGTATACAAATGGTAAGCTGAATATGGAATCCTTTCAAATTGGAAGATTTTAAAAAAGACACGCGTCTTGTTCGTATAATATGCAAATGTTTTTTTGCGTATTCTGCACTAAGTTTAGTTTTTATTAGCTTTTATTTCGATATTTAATTAATTTTACTCGATATTACGGGACGAGTTAATTTGCAAATACGGCTATTTCTGATTGTGTACATGGTCAATCGTCATAATAATTGGCTTCCTATTAATCATCATAAAACCAAGCGACGGTGTGCGAGTACAGTGTGAAAGTGTGTCCGAAAAGAAAATGGTAGTGTGAACGAGCTCTTAATGGCTTTATGAAACATAATTACATTCGTTATTTGTATCTCCTCATGTCATCATATTAGAGAGCGTAACATCGCGCTGCATTTTCATGACTCTTGATTCTATGAATACTAATTACATTGACCATGCTTGCCTTGCTGTTTCTCGTTATACCGGGTTTCATATCATTTTGCGCAATGGCATGTTCGTTTTCCGCCGTCGAGAATTTTGAAATTCCTGTTCACTTCATTATCGATTTAGAGTTCTCCGACGTATTTATTTTTTTGCTTCGGAATAAGGACATAACAATACACTCAATGTTAGAATCAAATGCGTTGTGATTCATTTTGGAAAATTACTCGACGTCTAAATTGGTATCATTTTATAACGATGGTAGTATTTCTGTAGAGCGCTTAAAACATCGGAGATTATCAGCCGATAATTATATACATCCAGAGTAGTACGTTACTTTGTCGTTGTTATTATAATTTTCATTATCCCCTGTTACTTGATCGTTGTCAATAAACAAGTAATTATGTTTCAAGGACGCTCTCTATGACATTGTCTATAATATTGGCATCCCCATCTCATCGCCGATTGAGATCCATATAATCATCAAAAATATAATTTGGCTTCACAGTATACCGATACGCAGAATACTAATACAAGGGCACATCAAACCAGGATTTTGAAACCAGGGTACTCTAAAACTAGAAAATTCTCTGTAAACATGATCGAGAAACTTACGAAAAATCAATCCAATATAATATCAATGCTTAGTGCAACACCTATTGAAATGTACGAACATTAATTTTTTGTAACAATAATAATAATATTCCGCTTTTATATTGCACTTAATACATCGATGATGTCTCTAAGCGCTTTATGGTCGTCGGATTCAGGCTTACCCGCACACAATATATGCATATTTCTCCACTCCCTGGGGAGCATTCCAGCAAGGCGACATTTAAGCGCACACTTGCTCATCTAACCACATTAACTTTCGCATCTATTAGGTTATAAAGCTAATGCCCTTGAGCAGATTTCTCGAAAGTCTTTATAATTGTGTTAAAAATGCTCTGACAAGAGGGTAAAAAGCTGCTAGTGCAGTAATAAACTGTTGCCTATAAAGTTGGAATTATTTTGTCTTACCTCTTTTCATGAAATGATTGTGACAATATGTTTTATTCTTGAGAAATATATAGTTGATATCTTCTCAGATCTTTTTTGAAAAGTTGAAAGAGTGATGGAGCTTGATCAATACATGCAGTTCAGAGAAGATATAAACGTTATCTCTCAAGAATAAACCATACTGTCTCAAATCGTTTTTGAAAATACTTAAGATTAAATCATTCCAACTTTATGGGCATCTGTGTTTATGAACTTAAAGCCTAGCTCACAAATGTCATTACGAAGTGCTACGAACGCCGTACGGACGATTTTCAGACAATGGAAATCGGGAAGACAATGGAAAACAGGGAGATTCGTACAAAATTATCGTTCGTACGAACCTTTGTGACCGTAGCATAAGCTTACCTGGTATTTGGGCAGGTTGCAGTCAATCTCCGAGCCTATGAAGGAGAAGTAGCGCTCAGCCACCGGGTCCACCGCCCATGATATATCCATGTTAGCGTGGACCAGATAGCGGGAATAGGCAAGGTTCCCGCACTCGAACGAGCACGGCAGACCGAGTTTGGTCGGGAGCTTGAATTGAAACGGAAAGGAATAACTGCCAGCTGTCAGGAGTGGAATCTCCGACTTGTCTTCCGGTTCTGAAAATGAAACATTAAATGGAAATTTTCATTCAAATGTTGATTTAATTCTTACATACAAGATAAAGCTCTAGGGACGATAAGCATTTCATAGTTTCCATTAAACTCAAAAGCATTTAATTACATTTTAAATTTTCATTTAATGAAATCTACATCTTTTATGTATCCCAAATCGCAATTATCTCATCTTCAAAATTATACAGTTTTAATAGAAACATACATTATTTTCATTCACGCATGAAACAGAACGCATTCAATAAATGAAACAACATTTAGGCCTATTAATTTTTTTCGTTCAAAATGGTAGACGTTGTTCTCTCCCTCTAATTGCAGAAACGCAGTCCAGTTAAGCAAATTCGTGACGAGTAAACACACATTCGTGTAATAATTGAAATGTTTGTTCTATTTCCTTCATTTTACCCGTACAATCCAACAAATACCACGTATTGATTATGATTAAACTAAATGAAGGAAGTCGTTTTCCGATTAAAGTGACTGGAGTCTTTTTTCACATTCAACCACAGCCACATTCTCATAATTTCAACCAAAATAAGAGCACCAAACAAATCTATAAGACGGATCTGAACTTGTTTGTTTAGAATATGCCATATTTGAATTCATTTACCTACGTAGTCGAACAAACTATATACCAACAAAAAAAGAGAATAAAATTAAAAAAAAAAACATGTAAAAAACACCCAAACAGGTGATTTATACAATGTCTGCTTGAAATATAAATCATCATCATCGAGCCTTCTACTATTATTGACTTACTAGGCAGACTCGGCAGATGGTAAGTAAGGCTGCTCTTTCAATGACCTCAATCAAACATTGATCAAACTAACGTGATTTCATTTGTACGCCCTTGACTTCATACCAGATTGATGCTTCCAAATACCACCATCATAATGGCTAAGGAGGTGAGCCTTTAGCACACAAAAAAAGCGATTTACGTAAAACCGAAATCTGTCAATATAGTGACAGGCAAGTCGTTTTGTTATCGCTGGATGGCAATATGAGTTTCACGGGATAATTATTGGTAATAAATATTGGCAACATATTTTCTAAAAGATTTTTAAATCCTGTTGGACAACCGTCAGGTTAAATCAACAGAGGCGAAGTCTACACTGTTACTAGTTGGTTTGAACTAAAGCGAGCAAAAAGGGGATTTAAAAAAAGTTGATTATGAATGTTTTGAAGATTGATGACCCTCCATCCCTATCATTTTAATATCTAGTATTAACATCAATTCTCATCGAAGAATCTACCCCAGGCGGATGACTGAAGCCTGAGTTTTGTGTTTAGTATGCCCCTCCCCTCTGTGATTAAGGCGGATTATGAGGCTGGGTTGCATTGGAAAACAACCCGTCCCTCGAATAAAATAATGATAATATTCGGTTCTTGTGTAGCGCATATCAGATTATAATTATAAAGTCTCTATGAATGAATGTTAAATACCCCGCTTTAGAGGAGAGTCGCCACCTTTGCACGTTAAGAACCCACTGTATTGTCGAATTTGAGTATAAAATAGGGGAAACCCCGGTGTAGTGACCCACATGCACATTCAATTAATTACATCGGGAGGAGAAACCCGATGACTTCAGCGATTCAGTTCGCTTTTCTACTCCTCGCCAATTTCACAAAATATTTGACCTTCATAATCATGCTTCGACATGATCATCTTGGATGGCGCTGTTACGTTCAGACATGGCGTGGTAAACGGCGGCTAAAATGGCGCCGCGGTTTTTGTGCGTGTGGAATGAATGGCACCTGCGCATAACTAAGGGATTCCGCGTATTCACTGAGCTCTGTGTTAACAGCAGGTTAATGTGATGTGAAGTGTATTACACTTTTCATCAATTAAAAAGCAGTGGCTTTGCAGCGTCACAATCATCTGGAAGGAGCCTTAAAGGTGAATGTAAGAATCCATCACTATTCTAAGCCTGCCTGTGCCAGGGACAACATTCAGATATAATCTCATCAATCACGGAAGATGAATGATCTCAATTGCTTGTATTATCCCTCCTTTATAAGCAATGCTGGGTGATCAACCTTTAGATGAACAGATCTCCTCATTTTGCATAATGTAATTTGTCGCAAGATACATACAGATGCATCTCTACGGGTTTCTATCCATGAATGATGATTACAAATGATGTTGCCCCCGCTATATTCCAGCATAGACCACCAGTGTATTTGAAGGGGGCAATCTATAATATAACCAATTGAACTACACTATTTTGCAAATAATAATGATATATAAAACAAAATAATAACAATTTGAAATTATTAGAAAACAGACATAGTGAAAATGAACAACCAGTGTTCTGAACATCTACGCAAATAAGGACAACAAACAGTGACTTTCTTGCTGAAGACATACGAATCACTATTGACTTGAACATTTTGCACCCCCCGCACGACGCCACTAGGGACACTATATATTTAACTAGATTGAGGAGTTTGGGGAAGGTGTGGACTCTGTTTGGCAGTGTGACTGAGGTATTAGCCAGACTATATTCCAATCACTACTAATGTATCTATCACTCCGACAAAGAACGTTCCGACAATTACATGACAATGCAAACAAAATATTGTGTATGCTTTACTGATTAGTTAACATCCTGGCATACAAAATAGTTCCACCCTACGTCAATACCGTGATGGCCTCACTCAGTACTTTCGTCAGAGCATGAGCAAGGCATGATCAAGGCAGTATACAACAAACACACTTAAATCTCTCTCTCTCTCTCTCTCTCTCTGTTTCTCTTTCTCTCTTTTATCAGGCTTACAAGTTACAGACTTGACAGACATGTTTTAATATCTTTGGATCATTTTAGCCAGCGCTTACAAAAGTGCTTAAAATCAGCAGTTCTCGTTTCATGACTTTTATTTGCATCTCAGCATAACATACTGCATGAGAACAGGCAAGTACACACCTACAAAAATACCAACAAATTGAGAGGATTTTGCTACTCTACGCATTTGGTCCACAGCATTCTTTCCATGACAATTTCTTCTTCTACCTCCGTTTTCCGCACGCTCATTGTGAAATAATCATGCTATTTTATCTAATTACGCATACTTCCAGCTTTCCTTTACGCTGAATTTATGCTCATGTATCCATCGCCAATCATTCTAATCACGATACAAATTACAAATTGTGACCATGGCAACGAAACCCTGCGCGCTACAACTATAATTCAAGTGTTAATAAAAGAGTTGCACTCGGAACGTGCTGTATATAATTATGCGTGTGGTTATGAGTAGAAATGGCATCAATTACTCCTGAACCTATGACTTTAAATTATCCATTGCATAGAGATACAAGAGGAATGGACTATACACCATCGTTATTCAAGCTATCGAGTTATTAAGTTAATTAAGAAGACCTGCACGCGTCAATTTTTAGTTTTGGTTAGGAATTTCCAGGCACCTCCACTGTACAATACATCTTGAGATGATTAAATGATATTGGCTTAAAAGCGCATGAAAAATATGTGGTAGCAGCTCAAAATGGGACAATAAACATTGTATCGATGTGTGTAGCAAAATGTCACAATGACCATTAACAGCAACATTTAATTTGTTCTAATGAATTTTTGTTGTATGACCTTGTATAATGCAAATCGTTAGCTTGTGATTACCAGCTTCCGATTATTTCAAACAACTGACATGCTCGTTTGTCGCAGCTGAAATTGCTTTGAAAACATTCCTCTATAGTATCATTTATCCATTGTTTGTCGCAAGCTACACTGTTCATTTCTCTTGGTTTACCTAATCGTTTAACACCAATTTAACTCCCCATCTTTGTTCATTTTGACTGCTGTTACCTCTCTCTCTCTCTCTCTCCCTCTCCTTTTCTGTCTTCGACCTATCTCCTTATTCCTTTAGGCCATTATCCTGCTCTACTTCATCACTAACACTTTGATTACCTCTTCTCAGGGGCGTTGCAAAGAACTTTTTAAAGGAAAGAAAACAAGGGGGGTCTAAGTGTCTAACCCTTTTTCCTCATAAGCTTGCCAAAAATGTACGAAATGATATAACCGATCACCAGTTCAATAATAGGGGAATTCGCTCCCCAAATTCAAACATTTAAATATGATTAAATTTGAAGGCAGAAATTGTAATTGGTTGACACCACAACACCCCTTATAGCGACGCTTCTGTACCCATCCCCGATTCTTAGCACCCGTAGTCAATCTTCTTACCGTTTCCCCAGACCGTCTTCCTCTCAAGGAACAGTTGTTCCCCTCCCCTGTAAGTCGAACTCCTCTTCCCGCTGGCAGCAGAGGCATGTCTCTCCCTCCATTGGGTACGGATCTCCCCCTTCACCGCCACCCGGATACCTACAGTAGAATCAAAAGAAAGCGAGAAATAATAATGATGATGATGATGATGATTGTGATGATGATGATCATGATGATAATGATGATGATGATGATGATGATGAGATGATGATGATGATAATAATGATGATATTAAAAAGGAAAATTGTTATAGTAATAATGATAATCTATTTATTATGATTATTATTATACTGATAACACAGATATTGATAGTGATAATCAAAATAATAATAACAATTTATAATTATGATATATTCTGATAATACTTATATCAATTATGACGAACAAAATATGATATTGTTAACAGCAATGATGATTATGAGGACGATGACGTAGTAATAACTTTGTGGATTTATATCCACTGTACTACTTAATCCATCCAGGATGTATCTAAGCAGTTTACAAATGATTTATACAGTATTTACCCCGATCGATGGATCAAGTCTTGCGCGCACACAATCGGCTTTATTTTATGCAAATTCTGCACTTTCTGTGAAGTATTCCAGCTGGGCGCCAGTTTTAATGGATGTGAAATGCTAGCTGTACCAAACCATACGGTTAAACCACAATGACGTTCGCATCTTACTAAGAACTCATTTAATGCTTGGTTGAAGACAAGGAATGTAAATGAAATGTCTTGCTTCAGGACATGAGTGACGTACAGGACATTGAACCCACGACCTTTGCATCTCCAATCACGTGTTCAAAACCACTTGACTACGACACCTCAAATATCTGTTTTTTAATCTTTAAATTACGATGTGCAGGGTGCAGGTGTCGCTCGAGGGGCGGTGTTTTGGTTTCTACTTTTGGGGAAATAAAATGTATGGCGAGGGGAGGGGAGAGAATTTACCCCTTGCCATGTACTTTCTCCTATTACCTCTTCCCATATTTCTCCTGTATTTCACTCCCTCCGAATCGTTCGCCTATTACAAATTAGTATTCATCAAAAACTCGAAGACATCATCAAGTTATCAGTACACTGTCTGAACAATAATTCATGGTCAATAAACTAAAAACATCAGTACTTCCGATCTATCAGATCTGATCACTTCAACTTGAATCGTGCAATGGTGAAAACAAGAGGAGAATCATGATAGGCCATGTATTATGACAGTGTCATCATGACCTTGACCTGAACCAGATGCATGGTAATGATCAAGAGAGGATCAGTAAATTGCAGGTACTTTGAAGTTAAAATACATTTAACCTTAAAGATAAAGACCGGTAGTGGTAAAATTGCGGTTCAAGGGTTTTGGGTGCAAAATATCCTTTCAATATTGTTTTAATATTGCCTTCAGAGGTTTAGATGGCACTAAATTCGCAAAAACAGAAATATATGCCCAAATGTTCAATGTTGAAGTGCATTCGCGATATTTATCCAGGCCGGATCGATATGATAATTTACCAAATATATCAATTAGTAGGCGGTTTCCCGGCAAAATTTGTATCATCACGTATTAGTCAAAATATATTCTTTCACAATCATGATTGGTAATAAGAGCTTCCATTTCCTTATTTGAGAGGGGGCGTTTCCAAAACTGGTCTATACCTTTAATAACAATATTATGTACCTGCAAAACTTTTTTTAAAGAGTGTAAAACGCGTATTAAGTTTGTATTGAATATGATCTTGTAATCTAATCATGATGTTTATTTATATAATCATTAATAATAGGAAGGATACACCCCTCCCGCCAAAAAACAAACGAACAAAAAAACCTGGAGTCAATGACAAGTTTTGGCTATGTTTCACAATTATTCCATGTACACCGCTGAAAATGTACAGACATATTTTTTAAATTCCAACAGATGTAATGTACTTGGTATAAAGGTAACAATTTCCATGATTTTAATAATTAAATGAGGATTTTTTTTTTTGCCTTCAGGCACCACGCAAGCGTTTCGGTTGTATTGGAGTCGGTACATTTGACAAATTGCAAAATAATAAAGGAGAAAAGTAAAAAGAAAAAAAAATCACTATCGACTTTCATTTAACTTGCACGACATTTTATATCACGAGGTACATGTTGACAAATTTTCTACAAAATTCTGAATTTATCGACCTTTAAATGTGAACATTATTATTGTTTAATATTCATGAAATCAATGAAGCTCTCTTTGAATAATCCCTTTAGACTATGATGGGGCCCTGATGCTGTATGCATTGACCTATAAACTTGTATACTACGATATATAGCAAGGATACCCACCCCCGACAAACTTACGCGAACATGACGGCCAAATGGGAATACAGAAGAGTATAATCAAATAGATATGATTGATTATAGAATTAGAGGGAACCCATATTGTGGTTATTGAATAATTCCATAAATTGCATTAAATCCACGGCTCAAAGCATGGCGTCGCATAATAAGCGCTAACACCATCATAGTATTATAAGGGATCACAAATAAGATCGAGAGATGCGCAGTGAGAGACCCGGATGACAGAAAGTCGGATGATGTATGGGCGAGGAAGAGGGAGGAGGGAAACCAGTTAGAGTAAGTAAAGAGGAAAACAAGAAGAGAAAGAGAGGGAAGGAAAGAGAGAGTGGATGAGTAAAAGAGTGTATGTGTGAGAGAGAAGGAGAGAGAGAGAGAGAGAGACAGACAGACAGAGAGAGACAGAGATAGAGACAGAGATAGAGACAGAGAAAGAGAATGATGGATTTGATAATTGACCTTTACGATATCAATCATTTTGGGATCGAATTTTCAAAGGGTAAACATAGAAGTTACATTGAAAAGAAATAAATGTTTCGATACAACAATATTTGAGTTCAGCTAAAAATGAAAAAAAGTTCAGTTAATGTAGAAACAAAACAATTTAGAGACTTTAAGCACTGTAAGCATCTTTTGAATATATTTTCTGGTATAATTGTCAGTTTACTATAAATACATATTGGAATGATAAAAGAAGGATACGTTCATCCTGTTACGGGTGTGTCAATTTTGCAAAAGAATACACATGCAAGATCCATTATTGTTTCTCATTGCAATACCAATAATACAGATACGGCTTTCTTTTCCCCCTAAACCACCGCTTTTCAGATCAACGTACGGCGTTTACTGCATCTGATTCCAAGGAGAAACTGAAATACGGCCTTTGCATTATTTATAGGAGACGAAGGAAATAAAAAAAAAAGCTAGTAACTGACCCGGCTTTTGTATCAAGTTGATCGTGTTATATTGATAGTCAGAGCATGTAACCAGGCTATACATTCCCCCCACAATTTCAGCATTGGTGATGAAAGACGATATTCGAGCCGTGTTGACAGTGAGAATAGATTTCCGAAAATGGTAAGAAGAAATGCAACAGGCTTCGTAAAAGATAGACATCACAATTTGTGTATTTTTGTAGGTGTGTAGAGCGATGAAGGGGGGGGGGGAGTAGTTCAATTCATTTGAACATCTTGTCGAGGGGCAAACATTATTGTAAACCCAGAAAGGTTTATCACGAACTCTGTTTAAAAAAAAATCAAAATAGGGATAGGCCAGCAAATGGATTCGCTGTATACTTTGTCAATCTTCTCTCACTCTTTTGTGTGGTCAAACACCCACATACACGCACACTCCTCATCACACACACACACCCTCGCGTTTCCCCTCTATCTCGTTCTCCCTTACTCGCTTTATTCTCTCCTCCTCCTGGTCGCTTTATCCCTGGATGTAGCAACTAAACGAGTCTCTGGGTGACTATTCCGTTTATTATTACCATGGTAACCGATGGTATTTCATTAGGTTTTATGGTTGGCTAGCATGCCGTGTCAGGTCTGTGAAGTATACATCTCCCTCCCAAAGGAGACTTAACATGTAGCAATGAAATATTGATTATCGTAATTGTAGCTTCGCCTGCATGCATCAGCTAAGGACATACCGCGTAATAAGAATGAAATAGTATACAAATATACACTGCCTTGAGAGGTTCTGGTTAAAACTATGCGCAAGAGGTGACTCCAATAGTACTATTTGCTGAGGGGTGCAGCCCCGAAGCAAATGGTACTTTTGGAGTCACCGAGGCCCATAGTTTAACCAGTACCTCGAATAGAAGGCATGATATATTTGTTTTATATCCTGCATCAAAATTTTATTTAAAAAAAAAAAAAAATTATGTAAAAAGTTTAAAATATTTTGTTTTCATTAAATTAAGATTTGAAAAAAAAAAAAATAGATTCAATTCTAAAAAAAAATTGTCACATTTTTTGTCAACTCCCAAATAGTAAACCAAAATAGTACTCTCATATAGTACTTTCTAAAAATAGGTCAAATATTTCTGGTCATGTGACATGTTCTCAACCAATCAAAAGCCAACAAATTGTTGATGCAGGATATAATAAATGTTATGAGCTTGATTCATAGTCATGATAGTAGGTCCTTCAAAAGGGGTTCAAAAGTGTAGCCAATGAGAAGCGTCGAAATGGATCATGTGTGCGAGCATCAATGTTTACCTTATGCACTGAGTGCATTCTGCTGATAACAACCGTCAATTCCTCAACTTTTAACTCATATTGTAGACCCACTTTATGACTCAAATAATACATTTTTGTAGCTCGTGCATTAGTGATATTATGCACTGTACTTGGTATTTAGTCACAAAGAGACGGCCAATGAACTGGACAAGTCTCGTTCGCTATCTTACTGTGACTTAAACTGTGTCCAGTGCATATTCACTAAAGCACTCGCAAACATGTATTATGTGTATAATAGTACAGCATAAATATAATCTGATACGTAATAATATCTCATCTCAGGTAGAACAAAAATGAAGCAGTCTTCTTTCTTTCATTTGTAATAACATAACAGTTCGCTTTTCCCTGTTTTTTTTTTCTTCAGTTTCGTACGTAAAAACCAGTTGGAATTAATATGGGGGCGAAAAAACACACAACCAGAACGAGCAAACAAAAAGCCATCACTGTCTGATACCACTTTTGTAATTATCATGAATTTTACATCTTACGTTTCATTTCTACTTATCTCGTTCTTTGGTTACTGATGTAGC